AAAAAAAAAAAAAAAAAAAAAAAAAAAAAAATAAAGTCAGATTAACTAATACAGAAAACTATTCTAACTCTCAAAAGTTCTAATCTATTAAAAATGAGAAAACTATTCTGAATTATTCATGACTCTTGTTTAGGTCAAATGCATATAAAAATATGATGGCAAAATATAATATATAATAAAATATATATAATATATTTTCATAATTTTAATAATTCTGAGTCTACCATCAAAATCAATGGAAAAACAAAACCCCTGGGTTTTCCCAACCAACGAAAAATTCAAACCTGGAGCTCAGTCATAAAGGCAAGTGTAATCATTTTCATTAATTACTTGGATTAATTAATCCACACAGCGGTAAATACATCTGCAAGTAATACCATCTGCAGACCAGATTAATAAAACCTGGTTTGGTACAATTCCTTTCTTTATATTCATTATAGTGCTAACCCTTTCATTTTATTGAACTGATACATGTTTGAAAATAGTAGATCATAATACCCTAGTTAGAAATAAAGAGAAATAGGTGCTTGACAGTAGCTGCCTTCTAAGATACAAAAAGAAATGCCACTTTGATGCTACTTCCATGGAGTCCATAGCAAAATAGATGGATGGTGCTCATATTTTCAAACTTTACAGTGTAAATGCCTAACGTGAAGCAGCTCCTAATTATAAGACCTTAAACCTGAGAATACCACCATTTGGCGCTATCTGGATTCCATCCGGGTTGTGTTTTCCACTATAATTTATAAATGTCTTGGCTTTTTGGAAATAGATACAAATGCTGGATCCAATATTGTCTCTGTGTGAAACAGCCTTTGTTTTTCTGTTTAGGTACTGGATTTTTTTTTTCAAAAGTGGCATAAAATGAAAAAGAACCTTTTATTCTTTTCTTTATGATAAAGTTAAGTATTCCTAAAGGCATGTACATTTATAGATGAATATCAAAACATAGAAAGTTTATAAGCTATTGTTGAACTGCTGAATCTATACGTTATGGAAGACAAGAGACTAAGGGATTTTGAAAGAAATGATCAATTATGAAAATTTATGCTATTATTGTGACTAAAATGCATACAAACATAATGCCTGCAGAATATATGGCATTTAATTTGGAATAGGAACATGTGGTAATGTTTTAATAGGATAATTTTATTGGATATGACCTTTTAAATATTTCACAGCTTCTTATAAAAACTATGGATTCTTATGCACGCAATCACATTATAAAATAATTGTCATTTTCCCTTTTCTTTGCTCAGCACCCTACCCATAGGAGCCTGCAGAGGGCATATATACAGATGACCATCACTGAAAGAATTCCTAATTTTGTTGCACGAGCGTTTTGTATTAGAAAAATTTTTAAATCGTACCCAGTAAAAAAATGAGTCAGTAGCATTGGGAAGAATTTGTTTTTCTAAATTTCAAATATTATTTTAAAATAATAATTCTATCCTCTGGACATGTGAGAGATAATGTGGCATATATGTGTTGCATTTAGAAAATATATGGGTATAATGAAATTCCTTTAATGTACAGATGGAAGTTTATATTGATTTCAGTAAAGATCAGAACATAATGGTAACATGAATAACAGATAATAGCATCTGGCACTTTTAACATTTTAAGCCCTGAAATCTTTGGAGGACTGACAGTTGAATGCAACTGACAGCCCTAGTTATTTCTCCGCACTTTCCTTTCGAGATATTTTGAGTTTTTTCCAGATTCAGGATTTTTTTGTAGGGGGCATCTGGACAGGCTATTTCACTGAGAGAGACAGACAATATTTTCTGAAAATTACCACCAAAATTAAGCAACTGTTGTGCATATGAGCTAGATAACAATGAATTAGAAATAATCTCTGTTTCTGGTTGTGTGTGCGTGTGTGAGTGCCCCGTGTGGCAGGTCACGGGGAGGTTGTGGGGGTGGATATGGGAAGGACGAGGGTGTCAGATTGGAACTGACACCGATCAATATTTTCTTGCTGTCACCATTATCTGATGTGCTTTTCAATCTTTTCCTTCTCTTCATTTTCTCCCTCCTCCTCTTTCTTCATTTTAGGAAATCCCAGGCCCGTTTCTTAATTTCTATATGACCAAGGACCAACAACTTTACCTCCTTGAGCCTCAATTTCCTCCACAAAAACTTTGACAAGAATCCTGCTTTTCAAGATTGTTAGGATGATGAGACACTGTGTCTAAAGATCTCTCATCGTTATCCATACTGTGTTCCTCTGCTACTTTCAGAACAAGGACAATGAAGACAATCTATTTTTTCAAAATAGAAACTATCAAGTATCACAGGTTTCATTTATAAGATTCAGAACAGGGTGAAAAATACTATTTGCAGATTACCTTAGCACAGATGGAGGCACAAAAAACAAGGGCTGAGAAATTGCCTTAGGAAGTCATGTGCTTCAGAAACGTGTGTGTGTGTGTGTGTGTATGTGTGTGTCCCCATCAGCTATAGTTTCCCCAAGCAATGGATGGTCAAATAACTGTGACAATAAACATTAAGCTTAAAAAATACTGTGAACTCAAACCTAGGGCAAGCACTTTGACTCCGAGAACTCAGTTAGCGTCTTCAATGTCCTCTCTTACTATTCTTAGTGACCCTGAATTTCCACGTAGCTTCTGAATTCCAGATTTCAGAATGCTTAGGTTGTAAACTGTAGCAGTAAAAGTCTATATGGTCAGATCCAAAGTAAGTAAGCCATTCTGAAAAGAGCAGAAATCTCATCTAAACAAATCTGTTTTCCCCATGATTTTGCTGGGAAATAAAACACTCTCATAGATATATACACATTAGATAAGAACATACTCCAGTTGAATCTCTGGAGCCTCCAAGGTGAATCTAGATGGTTCTTGGAATTATGCAGAAAAATGAGATTGGAAATAAAGATAAAATATTTCTTATGAGACCTCATTTTCTGGCTGAGTGATAAGAGGTATAGCCAAAGAGGGTCTCTCGGGGATTAACTAGGCCCCCAAATGGGAGGACTGTCTCAGAATATGAGTGCAATGTTGACATTGCTGCTCAAGCCATAAATGATAACTGAGATCAAACAATACAAGAGACCTTAAATGAAAACAAGAACTCACCTGACACAAATTTGCTTCATTACTACTCAAGACTGAATTGGTATGTCTGACACTGGAGGAAAGAAGGTCTACATCCCACCCTGCACAGGACACAGAGATACCCCCAAACAAGGTGGGTTTTATCCTCATGGGATTCATCCAAAATTAGGGACATAGTTACACTTGCTTTGTAAACACTATCCTTCATGTGACCTAAGACTTTTACCGAACCCCCAACAACAGATCTAACTAGGATCAGGTTTCCTTTTGGTGGTGTAGAGTGGGGTGTGCCGTGGTCTGCTCAGCTCTGGGGCTAGCTGGGGATGAAGCAGTTTTGGGGAGTATGCCCATTCTCAGAGCTGGCTACTGGAGAGGGAGGGATCGAATCAACAATCTCGATCTCATTATGTTTGTGCTTCCCAACAACCCACCACTGCTTCCAGACTTCCAAGTCCTAAAAATAAACAGAAGTTAGGTGTAGCTTCTATTATTTTGCACAAGTCAGAAACGGCAGGGGGACTGTGGTGGAGGGAAGAGATGTAGGTTTGCTGATCTGTGGTCACCACATGAGGTAACCCAGCTTCTTTGCAGGTATTAGTTTTATATTGATCCGAGTCAAACATTATTTTTAGAAACGGTTTTTCTAAAATCGTGTGATGATCGATTAACTAAGACCATCCTTAAATACTTCAGGCAAGTTTTGTGAAGCCAAGCAGAATACAATGACGAAGACTAGTATGGCAGAATGTAAGCAGAAACCGCTGTTGGGTGAATTTCCCTCCCATTTCTCTGTGATGGAGGGTGGTGACACAGAGTCTACCTTGGATCCCAAGATATCCCCCAGGGACCCCGTACCTGACCACCCCAGGTAGGGTTGGCCTTCCTTTTCACTTCCTTGTTACTCCTGCTGTTCTATTTATCACTGTATCTGGTTACCTGACAGGGCTCCTACCAGACTGAGCACACATGTGGGAGAAGGTTGGCCTATCTGGGGTTGCATCCTCAGAACGTATGTTACCGCCTGGACACGGAGACGCCAGAGAAAGTGTGCTCAAGGAAGGAGGGAGGGAGGGAGTGAAGGGAGGAAGGAGGAGAGGAAAGAAGAAGGAAGGGGAGGGGAGAAAGGGATAAGGGAAGGAGAGAAAGAAGGAAGAAGACAGGGAGGAAGGACAGGAGGGAGGGAGGGAGGGGAATTGGAGAAACAACCCAATGTTGTGATCACTATGTCACATTTATACTTGTTTGTGCCGCCTTATGCTCTTAGATGTTAAAGCACATGCGAAAATCAAATTCGTATTTCCCCCCAAAGTTTCTGAACTTCAGAAAGCGGAAAAAAGTGATGCACATTCCAAAGACAGTAGCTATTTTAGTTCTTTTCATGGATCAACCAGCAAGTATCAACAAGTTTCCTGACAAACAGCAAAGCAAAATGAATCACTACTGTAACAAGGTTGCATTCGTAATGATATTGAGTCTACACTGTGGAGGTTTCTGGCCATGAATTCTTTTGGATGACATTACATCAGGGCTAATCAGACTAAGCCAGGTGGCTCAAACCATGGAGATGAAGGCCTGATGAATCCTGTCCAGTCACAACATCTGACTTTCAAGGGTGAAACTACTCCAAAGATAACCAAATGCACACATGCATCTCCTTGACTTTAGGATTGAGAGATTGTAGACACCCAACATTCATGATCCAAACACCTCAGCCAATGGCTCTGTATGTAGATATGCTAACACAGTTCCTTCATGAAACCAAGGAAATGAATTTGACACTTATCCCTGATTCTTACTTATCCCTGATTTGATTTCATCTTCTACCCTCTGGTTCAGAAAGAATGAGTAAGTTGGCATTTCAGTGCTGAGTTATATACACATGGCATCTTACAACCCTCTGTATTCTGAAGAGATGGATACCATGATCTCTCATGCAGTGCACACAATCGCAGCCCAACTGGGGATGACATTTATTATAGTGATGTCATTTTAGGTAAGTGACCGGGAAAGTTGGATACATGTCTCAATTTCTTAAATTAAATTTTAATATCACCACTTTACCGAAGTCTGAAACAAGGTACAGAATTAAGTATTAACTACACAGGACTACAAAAGATAATTAAGAAGGAAAAACCTAAGAACACTCTTCAGTCATGCTCTTACACTTAGTGATTGACATATTGGAACAATACCTCTTTTTCCTCCTCTGTCTTCCCATGGGTTTTGCTATAGTTGATAGGAGTGTCCCAGCCCTCTTGATCACAGAGAGCCTGATAGAAGGCTGCATTGACCAAAATGCTGCTCGTTTTGAATGGGGAAGAGGAAGGAGTTGGAATAGAGGTGTTAGAGGAAGTTAGGGGTGCAGCTTTGTCCAGGATTCGATTTTTTTTCAGGCTTAAGTCCAATGTGCCATTTTCATCCACTTCTATCTCGGGTCCCTGGTACACAATAGGAAACAGAAAAACATTTAAGCAGTTTGCAGTTATAGCCTAACCATGTGGGGCTTTTAAGGGATCATTTTAAATGCAAGCTTTTATGTAAGTGTATCTGATTTAAAATCTAGCATTCTGATTTGCTTTGGTTAATGTTCAATTCTTAGGCAGACTTTTAAGAGCAGCCCCATTAGCGGGCTTCGTGTTTCTGGGTTTAAACAAAGTACAGCCTGATATAAATAAGATGTTCCGGATGCTAAATGTATTGGCTAACCCGGTTTTATACATTTTTTTTGAAGTTTAGCTTTAAATCTCCTTTCCTGGCTTGCAGAATTATCACTCTCAATTCATCATTTATAGCATTAACACTTGAGTTTATAAAAAGGCACCACACTACTTCCCAGCTTGCCCCCCCCAACAGTATTAACCAAACACGAATATGTGCAGAAATACCCAGCTGCAAGAGAATTTTGCTTGAAATACTAGATTCATATGAACGTGACCTTTCATCCTGGGTTACTTGAGCCAGAAAAGCTTTGTTAAGGTGTGGGGGCGGGGGCGGGAGACAGATAGGATGAACGGATGTTGACTGGCGGAAGGGGGGTGTTAGCAGCCTGCCACCGTCAGAACTGCTTGGGAGTAAATCATACGGTGAAACTGCAGAATAAAGATGATTATTTTTTAGATAACTTAGTGTGAAACTTCAAACTCACTATACCTCACAGCATTTCTCTTTGGGAAAACTTTGGCTATGTTGTTGTTGTTGTTAAAGTTCAAATCCCCACAACTGCCTGGGTGCTTTGGATCATCCAAACGATACATGCCTAACTAAGGATGGCCTCTGTGCTGTCAGGAACTGTGGACACTGCCATCCAGTAACTCAGAATGCTGTAGAGAATGCATGTCTCTTTCCTAACTGGGTCAGATAAATACCTCTCCGGTTTTCGTTATCATCCACCAATTCACAATGAAATCTTGGACAATGTCTCCACTTCCCTCCCTCCTTTTGGCTGGCAAAGCAGGAGTCTCTTTGAATACGTTAGCAAGATCCCTAACGCATATGGTAGCCAGTTACTTCCCCGGGGGATTTATTTTAACTCCCCATTTACACTTTGCCTCCCCCTCCCCAGCAGTTGCCATTGAGGTGTGGGCCAAGGTAGCAGGGCTCCAAAGGCTCCCTGCTTGCACCTGATTAGAAAATAAAACCCCTCTTCTGTTCACTTGTTTTATGTGCAAAGTCCCTATTTTCCATCTCTCAACCTATGAGGTAGATATGTTTTATTCAATTTGTGGGAGGTAAATATACTTCTAATATGTTTGCACTAAGATGCTTTGGCCATATCTTTCTGTCCTTTTAGTAAATAGTTTAATCTCCTGGGATAGTTTTAAGCCCTGAATTTGACAGTGCAGCTTATCCGGGATAATAACTTAGTAACCACAACATCTTATGCCATCTGTATGATATCAAATACATTTTTATACCAGCATTAATAAACCTTAGTTACAAAAACCCAAGATATTAACCATCTCCGTGCCATGTGCTTTCTCTGGGATGTAACAATGTATTCTGCCGTGAACACATCAAAATAATTCTTGGCTTCCTCACTGATATGTAACTATAGCAATAAAACAGAGCTATAGTAATCAAGTTTAATGGCCAATGTAAAGTAAAATGCTAAATATTGTAGTTGCTGACATTTTTCATTAAAAAAAAAAAAAAACTTGGGTTAAGACTGCACAACCAACATTCACATAAAATTCCAGACCTCTGTGACAGATGGCTTAGGAAAAAGAAGCCATGTGACTGGGCTGCAGAGTTTTATAGTGCAAAACCCATAAATAGTGCAGATTCGATCTCCCTGAAAAAAATATCAACTATTCCAAGACAACACTAATATATATTTTAATTTTTACAGACAAAAATCTAAATAGTAAATAAAAAATCAGAGATTCTCAGAGTTGTTACGATTCTACATCTTGAGTAATAATGAGCTGATTGGGGGGAAAATCACTCCTAATGTTTAAAAGAGCCACTCTTGTACATCCCGCGCCCCAGCCGGCTGCTCTGAGCACCTGATTTGATAGGGAGAAAGCACGTTTGGGCATCAGGGTACAGATGGGCTTTAAGTGAGCGCACAGATGCATTCAACAATTACACACAGTACCAGAGAAGGGTCCCTTTCTGCCCATCGATGGGTGGATCGCACGTTTACTGCATGGATTTTTATTCAGAGCCGTATCAATAGGCATTACTCCTCTCTGCCTGAGCCTCCAAATGGAAGCAAAAAATGGAGCGGGTGGTGGGAGGGGCCTCAACGTGGACCCCCCCCAACCTTCTCCTATGCTGATTTCTCAAAGCACCACTCCAGATCCTTATTGTAATCATATAAATTTAAAGTTCTTCTGAGGGTGGAAAGAGGTCTAATACTATCCATGCACTTTCCAACTTAGGAGCGCCATTAAGGACCCTTACTTTCAGCCACTTTTGAGATACAGGTGCCACGTAGGATGTATTTATTAATTAAATTATTGAGAACCAATATGTTCAAGTTTCTATATTTGGGGGAAAGAAAATTGAAAAACATGTTGCTCTTGCCATCAAGAGGCATGTGTTATGCATAGAGGAGATTGTCAGTGAAAGGTAATTTAATAAATATAAATTATTATTCAACTGAAAGTTGAAATAATTATTCGTTAAAATCTTTACTGGTGTTATAAAATAAGAGGTGATTCAGATGTCCACCAACAGAGAATGATTCATGAAATTATACTATATCTACTTAAGGGCACATTATGCAACTAATAAAATGATAATTATGAGGCTTCTGCAACCAGGAAAAGATATCTATCACGGAAAGCAGGAAACGACCCCGCATCCATACTATGCTTACAACCGGGGAAAGGGGTCGACATTTGTTGCCTGAAGAACAAAAGGCAAAACACAGGAATTACTGTACTTGGATTTAGAAGGTAATCTTAAAGCAAGCCTCCAATATTTTCCAGGCAAATGACAGAGTTATGTGGTTTTAACGGTAAAAAAAAAGTATACAAAGATGGCGACAAAGTAATAGCAGAAAGACAATTCTATCATAAATATTCTAGTTGTGAAAGTGATTAACTCTCAAAACATAGATTTACCAAGACAGCATTGTTTTCCTTATTCAACAAGTTTTTCATGAACACAAGATAGGCTATCTTTCCTTTTTTGACTTGGCTACCAGGAAGTGCAAAAACTGAGTATCCCTCCGCTTAGGTGTCTGCAGTAATTAGCCCCTGGCTTTCATCTTCCGGCTCGTGTTGTTCCATGTTTGCTGCCAGGTTCTGTGTTTGCAGAGGATCTTTTCTGTACTGGAAGCTATCTGAAAGCTATCTGATGCTGTCAATACAGGCAGCGTATTAACAATAAAAAATGAAATTAAAGTATCTTATTCTTACTAAATAATACTTGAGTATCAAAACTATTAAGTTCAGAGCATCAACTTATGAAGTGTGCTCAGTATAAACAAAATGATGGGATTCAGGGGAGAAATCAGTGTCTGATATAAGGTATGAAATGAAAATTACATTTCTCATCATGTCCCAAAAGTCATTGTCGAAACTTGCAATCAAAGTTAGTGAAAAGTCTTAAGTTGGCCAGCAGTCCACATAACATGTAATGATAAGATCTTTAAGAGTGTAAGAAGTTGGACTGGTATGAATTGAAATTTTAGTTCCAACAGTTAACAGCTGTGCCACTCAGAAAAAAATTATTGAATGTCTCCATGCCACTATTTCTTCATTTCTTCATCTGCTAAATGGCATGATATCTTTACAGAGTTTCTAGTAGGATTAAAAAAGAATTAACATAGGCAATGTGCTTATTTACAGTGCCTGGCACATAGTAGGTGTTCAATACATGACAACTAACAATAATAACAATTTGATTGGGGTTTCGATGCTGAAAGAGACATCCCACTGCTACTGCACTCAGGGGCAAGGAGAGAATTATTGAATATACACACACATACCAGTTGGCTCCTTGCGATCGCTGACCCAAATCTCTTAAAACATTTCACTCAAAATATATGATACAATCCAACACGATACTCAAGTTACTGAAAAAGGCTGCTTTTGGATTCCAAGCCTCCCAGGAGCCATCAGGCTATTTCGGATACCCGGCAGCAAGAATGGTGAAGTGTTATCATGTTGTTTCTCGGCCTTATTCAAGCACAAAACAGACTTTGAACTTTAAGCATTTCAAGCAAGTGTCAGTTTTTTGTTTTCTTTTAAGGCACCCTGTGCATATGCCACTTTGTCTAAACAGGTGGGGAAAACACCAAAACAAACAACAGAATGCTTGGCAGGCAGAAGTGATCGGGATAAAGATAGACGGCGGGCATGCTCCTACCTCTGCTGCTGAGGATAGGAGGAAGGAAGGCAGCGGGGGGGGGGGGGGGGGGGGGGGGGGGGGGGGGGGGGCCTCCAACAGTGCCACACGTGCTCTCAGGGGCCAGAGGAAAGCGCTCAGCAAACGGCAAGCCCGGCATGGCCACTTTGTGTCTGCTGCCCATTTCTACCGGATGCCGTGCTCATCACAGCGGCAACGGCTCCCCGACAAAAGAGGGAGCGTTTGAGGTTGTGGCCCATGAACGTTTGGCAAATTCCTATTAATTCCAATTTAAAATGAAGGACATTACACCAATCTGGGAACCAGTGAAAGCACTGGCATCAAGAGAGGGTTCACACACTTCAGACAAAATTACCCTGAACCATTACGATATCCACTGATATTGATGTTACTAATTTTTTCTTCTGACTTGATTCGAAGAGATACTTGAAACAATGTATGCGCGATTTGGGCGGTGTAGACGTGTGCTGCACGTGCTCGATTGTACTTGAACAAATACATAATTCTTCTTAAGATCTGCTTTCAGGTCACAACGGACTCATTCGGGCAGCGATGGGCGGTGTTAACACTGACTTTTCTCAGCACGGTGTGGGGAAGGGTCCCTGAAGGACTGGCTCTTGGTGTTGGTTAGACCTCAGCTTGAGACTGCGAAATTTCAGAAGAACAATGTAGAGTATCCACATTATCCTTCCTTGTTTTTAGACTACGTAGGAACTCATAGTTCTCTTGCTTCTCTCAAGTTGGTCTCTGCTCCCATTGTTTTCCAAGAGAATAGGGATTTTGCACAAAATCATCAGCTCCGACCTCCCACTAAATGTGGAGTCAGTTCTGAGCTTCCACATAGGACAACGAAAATCTGTCTTCGCCTCAACAAGTGGATATGAAGGCAGTTTCAAGGTTACTGTCCTTTGGCTTCATTTTAAAAAGGTCGTGGCCACATGTGACGGCATGATCTATAATTTGTTCTTCAATCGGGCCCTTTAAGCAAACTCAGAGAAGCTCATTCCATCACGGAAATGACAAGTCTGCCCTCAGCCAAGTTCTGATAAAAAGCACTCTTGCCTCCCCTGAACATTAGAAATGTCATCTCTGGACCCTAGCTCTCCACCTAGAACAACGACTTTTCTCTTTCTGCCATGCCCATAAGCTTCCTGAAAGCAGGGTCTGGGACAGGATTGAATGTGTGGCTTGGGCGGGTGAACCCTCAGAGACCATTTGGTGGGTACAGATAAGAGCCCATCTGCCAGAGTATCTCTCTAACACATCAAAAAATGCTTCTTCACTTGGCTATGAAAGTGGAGTAGGGCAAATCTGTACATCTCTACATCCTTCCTTTTAAACAAGGAGCTCAAGACACCTATGGGTTTTGGCTAGCAGAAATAAGCATGGTAGCCACCATGGAGGAAAAAATCAAATCATAGTGGATAGAGAATCAGGCTAGCATTCAACATGGAGGGGAGGCTAGTTTATATATCGTTAATCCTAGATTAAGTAAAGGGCACAGAACAAAGTGCAACACTGAATGGAAGTAGCCTACACAAGGCTCTCTTTGATCAGAGGCCATTTTGCGGGGTTAATTACTTTGGCTTTTCCTTAGTTTTTGCTACAATCATTATTTGTGTGTGTGTGTGTGTGTGTGTGTGTGTGTGTGTGTGTGTGTGCGTGTGTGAGTGATTTCAGGAATTTACGAGGTTCTCTTTTATATTTGGAGCATAGGGTCCAGCTAGGACAGAGTTCTGCAAATCGTTACCACTGTGTGCAAATGTGTGTCTGGGGGAGGGATTCGCCCAGGGACCCTGGAGAGAGGATGGATTTATCCTGTTCTAACCACTGCTGTAGGAAAATGGCTTTCTAAACTGCTAGTGTAGTAAATTCGTCTCTGTGTCTCTTCCATCCTCATCATCACATCAGTGGGTTGGCTTCTGGGGGGAGGACTTGGGGCACACACTATGGTTCTCGTCAGCCCCGGGCAGGAGCATCCGCTCCACAGAAGAACCTGGCACACACTGTGCTCCCGACAGTGGCGTAAGAATAGACGCAGAAGTCACTTATTTGGGTTTTTGGAATGTGCCAATTTTTAACAGTCACGCTTCTGAGCAGAAAGTATTCAAGAAAAGAACAAAACACATATCTTGATAAGGAAAAATGCCCTCAAATTTTGGTCATCTTTGTTTGCTTCTCTATTTGGCTCTAGCAACGAAGAGAACATGAAAGGCAGAATTCTGAAAAACAGAAAAATATCTACACGTGCAGAAGAAAAGCCTTCATTCTACAACCCTTTGCTCAAGTAACTTAGGTAGCATTGATCATTATAATATTGGTGCTTTTATTCTCAAAGGGCAGCCTTAACAAACATAATATAAAGCCCAAGACAGAAGATATTTCAGTCTTTCTCCAACTAGCTGCGTATGAGAACATCCCTCTAAAAAGGAGAAATTTACCCAGGTTTTAAAAAAATGAATAAAAATCAACTAAAGTGGCCCTGCAAAGCAGCCTAAATCATTCACTTGTGTAAATAATTTCTGACCTGAATTCTGTTGAATTTGGATAGTGTGTTATTTTCTTTCTAGTTTTCAGAGGATGCGTTTTTCTTTGTTTAAGAACCTCATTTGTTTAAAAATTGTTTTTGAGTGGTTTTTGGCCACCAACTCTTCCTGGGGTTTACTTGGCTCAGATTTGTCCAGAAGCTAATTCTGATTCTTCTGTCAAATGCTCTATGGCACCGCGTTCCCTCCTCTCCTGAATGCCTGGCAAGCATAGGTGAGCAGCTGACCACACCAGGCATGGGGCCGTGCTTGCAGGGAAGAAGAGAGCTATCCACTCTAATCGCCCGAGTTTCGGGGTTACAGTTTCACCCAGGAGATTCCCCACTTAAAGCAAGGGTAAACTCTCTTCTCCAGGCAAGCCCGGGCACTTTATTTCAGCTGGTCTCAGCCATCTAAGTAGGAAAAGCACTCCTTTTAACTGAACCGTTTGCAGAGAGAACAGTTACACCCTCCTGCTGACTGCCCAACAGCAGCTCTGACACTCCCTATGGGGCTACTCGTAGCAGGAGAAACCCCTCCTCTTCAAAAGGCGAGACCTGGAGGATCTTTGTTTTTGGTTGTCATCAAGGTATCCTAAACCTGGATGTCTACTTCTCATTGTTAGAGAGGAGAGATTAGAAGAGAAAGATGATTAATTTCATCGCTTCAGAAATGTGGCACCTTAGGAAAGTTCACAGAATTTGATTTTGGATTTGAATGCCCTGAGTGCTCAAGTGCCCCTGCACTCCTGCCTCCCAAACCATCTCTTGTTCATTTAATGTATCCAGGTTTTACGATGCGTCCTTTGAGAATACCATAGCAACAGCATTACACAGTAGTAATGTGTACAATAACAAAATCGCACCAGTCAATTTCGCAACTGTTTCACCAGTCACTGTGTCCTCAGACATTCCCTACCATCTTTGACAGCAAAAGAGCTTCCACTGTTCACACTGATCTTAATGGCCAGCCTCTTTATTGGGTGCCCAAGTCCCAAACACAAAGGTAGGTTTGAAATCTACTCATCTCCATAACTCATGTCTGCCCAGACCCTGGGATACCACCATCAAGAACAACACTCATCCCCATCAGTGCTCCTTCCCGTCTCTTCCTAAGATGAGGAAGGGATGTGCTTTAGGGGTAGGGGAGCCGCGTGGTAGTGACTGTGGTTAGGAGCATGAAAGGCAGTTTATTCTCACGGTTCAGTCACTGGCCCACCCTCCGGGCTCTTGGACTGGCCTACCTTGGCATGCAGACTCTGTGGTTTGTTGGAGAGGATGTCTGCAGCTTCCCTGCAGCGGGTGGAGAGGTTCAGGATCGCAGCAGCTGCTGCTATGTGGGTGTCTTCACTACATTGACCGTAGCTGTAAGAGCTGGCGCGGCCAGGGCTCTGTGTGTGGGCGCCTGCACTAGGCAGTCGATTCGGAAATTTCCCTGGATTTGAAAAATGCTTTGCTGTTGAAGAGAGATTTGATTAGCAATTGCGTGCATGTGGTTTTCGTCATTAAACAGACTTGTTTTACAGATATAACTTCTTGCATTGAAACAGGTTAAGAATAAATTTTAAAAAAAAAAACACACACAATCCATTGTCCGCTGTACATTAAACAAAGGTTATTCAGGTCGGTTCTCACAGAGGTTCACAGATCAAATGCTGTGATTGCTGGGGAAGAATGGCTACTCTCTTAACATTTTTCGTATTTATACTTCTGATGGTAAAAGCTCTGTAACTAATGTGATGGGGCAGATGCACTGGAAGGATTGGTGGTGAGAATTGCAGATTAACAACCACATTCGCAAAACCCATCAGAGACTATAGAAGCTTAAGACTCATGCATCTAGAAACCGTGTATGTGTTGAGGACCGGGAATTCCTGTAGAGACAAAGATGTACCCTTTGAACATTTGTTTTCATAGTAACAATTTATATTTAGACATAGCACTGCATTTTTATTATTTGGTATTCAGGTTTGTTTTGTGCTTCAACCAGGAGAAGTTGTTCTTCACGTCCAACTAGATGGAACTAAATGCACAGCAGAGTCTTTAATGAGCTGGCATTCTGCATGTTTAGGTAGAGCATAAGCAGAGGACAGAGAACATGTTCTCAGGGTGAGCAGAAAGGCAATTTAGTTATCAAGGTTGAGATTCCGTTTTATGTTTCTGCTGTGCCACAAAGGGATTGCTGAGAGAGGAAATTAACCATATTTCTCTTCACTCCGGGTGTCTGTAAACATCACCCAAAGTCACGGGAGAAACTCCTGAGATTTCAGGGGGATAACAGGAAAGCATTTCGTTATTTATTGTGTCACAAAGATTGCTTATTCTAAATATTTGATCGCGATTTTTCATGAAGTAATTTCAAGCATTGCCAAATCTTATTCCTATAGTTATAAAAATATAGAAATGTCACTGAATGGCTTGCCATTTTAAGCCAATATCTGTGTTTCGATGAGTATATAGAATGCTGAATTCAAGATATATGTGTATGTGTGTGCATGTGTGCATGTTTTGCATTTTTATAATAGAAGACATTGTGTGTGTATAAATTTCTTCCTGAATCTAACAGGTTGTCAGTGTTATTTAGGTCGGCTGGGCCTATCGTGGGTAAGAATAGATAAAGTCTCTTTTGGAGTATTATGTACTTGCTTTCGATGGGCCAATGCCTTTAGAGTCTGTGTATCACTGCTAGGTTTTCTGTAACATTCCAGTTCTTTGAAAAATGTGGCCAATGTCACAGAGCGAAGCACACAGTATATTTCCTAAGAGCCCTCAGCTTAGCTCACTAGGCAGGAGAGCAAAGGAATTCCATGGATGTGTATGCTGTGAATAACCCATGGTCTGTGGAGAACTGAAATTGGGGAATTAGTTCACTTCTCCCCTTATGGCTGGTATCATGACACAGAAATCATGTCTGGGTTTCTCCCAAGGCTCAATTCTCTTACCTTTTCATTAGAATATTCAGACTCTAAAACCCTTGAAGAAATGTGTTAGTAAAAACACCAAGTTGTATATATCATAGCATCTTTGCACTCTAATCTTCTACAGGGATGTGATACCATTAGAGTATTAACATGTTTTAAATGACTCTATGTTAATTCTTAAGTATGTGGATAAACAGCTCCATCATCACTGTATTGCCCTCTGATAAAATCCTGATTTCTGAACTGGCAGTTTCTTAGACTTTTCACTTTTTCTCTCACTTTCGGACTAGATGCTCTTGCAGATTTAAATACCATTTTAAGTAGTATTTCAATGCTTTGTGTATTATCTTTTCATAATTTCAGGATGAATCAAAATGGTGATGACTATTACAGTTTTAGTATATTAATCCCAATCCCACCTAAATGTGAATTAAATATTTCTTTAGAATTACTGTGTTTCGATTCAACAATGGCACAATATTCGTAGAATAATTACTTCATTAACTATTCACCATATTCAGTGTAACTTCATGTAAAATCAGAACACTGATCAATGCACTATTGTTTTCCTTATATTATTTCACTCTACCATGTATTTTCTCTCCTCCCTGCAGTAAATAGCATTTGAGTACCCCCCCAACCCCTAAACACACTTAGACAAGGTGCAGTTTTTGGAAAAAGAATTAGAATTTGAAGCTTACATTCAGGAAATGGTGGCGTTTTTCGTCCTTGACCTGTTTGTATGAGAGGGCGTTTGCCAAAAACCTGGGCGTCGAAACTGGCATAATCGAATGGTACTTTTCCAAACTTTTCTTGTTCTCTTGACACCGTAGCTCTGGGGGAGGTGATGGCTTGTGATCGGAAATTAAATTCAATTTGTTTCACCAAACTCGTCCTGAAGAAAAAGGGGGAGAGTTCAAAAGAAATATTATGAAACTCTTGGTGAGCATATTAGCATCAGAATTTAAAGCAGATCAAATGTGTCATGCCTGTCGGTACCCACAGAGACAGTGTAGTGTGGCAAAGAGCCGTGGACACAGCAGGATAAAGCAGAGTGCTCTGTGCCAGGAACAAGAGATGGGAGGCATTAAGGACCCTGGGGGGCAAGGGCGAGGCTGCATGTTGTGGGTCCGAGTCCCTAGGGGTAAAAAAGGAATGTGCAATTACGCATTCATCTCATGCGGATGCAATGAGCTATGAGCTATTTAATGACTGTTAGCGCTTTGAGCTCCACAAAGGAAAGTGCCATATAACTATCATTAGGGCACTGACAAGGTGTGCACATTCTGCTTGTTAGGACTGTTAATCAGATTGGCAGTGAAAAGTCACGATTGTAGCTGGTGTTGAGATGGCATTATAGTCAGTTTGAAGAAGCAAGGCTGAGCCCTGCTCTCCGTCAGCAGAGCTGACAGGAGCCTGACATAGGCACCAGAAACTTGACTTCTGCACTATGAGTTTCTCAGGTTTTTCAGTTTTTTCCCTTTCGTCTGAATTTTTTTGTTAATGTAAATAATTCTTTAAGTAGTATTTCAATATTTTACCTACTAAACTGCCATCATGTCAATATGAATCACAATTATCATAGCTATCACATTTTTCAATAGAATCATCTTAATCCAAGTTAAATCTGAATTATTTCCTTAGAACTACTCTATTTGGATTAAACAAGGGCATCATATTTGTGTAACCAAGAAAAATGCAAATCTGGTCTAATGGGAAAAGAACATGAACAAGCATACCCCTCAGATTTTAGAAACACCAAAAATACATAAGTGTTCTTTTGTTTTCCACCAAAACGTGCCTGGCTCATCTGAATGCCAAAGTCTCAAAGATATTTCTTAGATTAGGTAAAATACATTTTAGCTGCTACATAAAAATATTTGAGTAGTTAGTTGATCTTATTATTGTATATATAACTAGGTTTCTATCCCTAATATATCAGCATTCTAGTCTAAAACAACATTTACTTTTTCCAGAAGTTAGCAAACTAAAAGTTCATGCTATTTCTGTATTTGATAAATAGCCTGCTTATGGAGAAACTAGAGAATATGGTCATATTACCCAAGAACTTTGTTGTAAGGTTTTCTTAAATCTTTTTTTGAATGTTTATTTATTTATTTTTGAAAGAGAGAGAGAGAGAGAAGGAGGGAGAGAAAGAGAGAGATAAAGAGCAGGGGAGGAACAGAGAGAGAGGGAGACACAGAATCTGAAGCAGGCTCCAGGCTCTGAGCTGTCAGCACAGAGCCCAATGCGGGACATGAACTCACGAACTGTGAGATCATGACCTGAGCTGCAGTCAGAAGCTTAACTAACTGAGCCACCTAGGCGCCCCTTTGTTGTAAGATTTTTAATTGCTAGTTGTTCAGTAATTCATGATCTTTACTTAACATAAAGTAAAGTAGTAACATATGTTCTCTACTCATGTGACTCTTCTAATTAAATCTATAACAGCAAATATTAAGGGAAGCCATATCTTGAAAATACTCCTAATAACTATTTTGCATTTCAGTGCCTCAGGAAAACAATGAAAACCTGGTCATCTATTTCAGCCCTGAAATCACTTTCCCTACATATATGATTTTTATACTAATAATCATATAACTTCACATGTGTCATCACACAGAGTTTATTCCTAAGGTATATGTAAGGTTTCCAACCTCCTGGGGATTGTGAGGTACCAGGAGCAAATAGGAGAGATTTCGTTAATAGTTATCAACCCATGGATTGAATTTTTGTTTTAAAGGAACTCTATGAATAGCTGGGGCAGAAGAATGAATGTACAACGCCACATATTTTGGATGGGTATGAGTGATTTTTGAAGGCATTTTCTGTCAGCAGAAAGGTTAATCAATCAATCAATCATCGCGGGAGTGCTTACCTGACTAGTGGGGGATGGGTTGCATTTAGAGACAGAGAATTTTTATTAATACATTTTATAAACTTTATTTCTTGTTCTTATGCTGATTTATTTTGAGGAGGGAAAGAGAGCCAGTGAGTGCATGCACCAGAGCAGGGGAAGGGCAACGGGAGAGAAAGAGAATCCCAAGCAGGCTCCACACTATCAGGCTAGCCGTGCAGAGCCAGACGCAGGGCCTGATCAAATGAATTGTGAGATCGTGACTTGTGCCCAAATCAAGAGTACGATGCTTAAGTGAGCCACCCAGGAGCCCCTACTTTATTTCTTTTAGATTCACTCACATTATGTCTCCTTGACATGCAGGTTAATTTCATGCTGAACTTCTGGACAGTCTGGCAGTTCATGTAAGTGAGACTATGATTCACGGGGCCAGCCCCTCAGATACCGGTAGTTGTGAACTAGGGTCAGGCCATAGTGAACTGGGACACAAAGGGACAGGGGCCCCGCTGTGTGGGAGCATGGCATGGACAGGCTACCAGAACACCATGGGAGACTCGTACCTGTGAACCTGGTCAGGACACTGCCCGGTTTTGGGGGAATCGAGCTGACTTTTGTCCTGGGACATTGCCAATTTTTCAGCTGCAGCAATCGGACAACCAGAAAGACTGTTTTTAAAAAAAAAAAAGGAGGATTTGAGTTAAAAAGGTAAAGTCATTTGCTCTGAACTCACAGCATGCTTGGCATACATTACATGTTAAGTCATATTCATAGTTAGCAACTTTCTCATCCTAACAGATCCCGAAAGGGTTTTGCAGATTACTGTGGCGTCATTTGCCCCTCCCCCCAGTCACAGCCCAGAAGCGATGAATAACAAACTCATTTTTAAAATCAGAAAGTTTTGTCAAGGAGAAAAATCGAAATTCTCCTGAAACTCTGTAACATTTTATGAAGGATGCACTTACTCCAATTGCAATGTGCCTAGCTATAGATGCGAGCATGATAATTCCATGATTTATCTTAAGATCTTTAGAAAAATGTTAGGGACTTAATTTAAAATCAGTTCACACTTAAGGTACAGAATATGAAGTTTTCTGGCAACATGCTTATGAGTCCAATGGTATCTCACGATCACATAATCGATACATAGTTTGAAGTACACATAAAACAATAAGCATTTCCACCAAAAAACATTTACATATACACAATACATTTGTATATAAAGGCACACATGAGTGAGTTGGAATCTCAGTGTAATGAATCTGGAATCTCCGTGAGATGAACTGATGTTTACCTTCATCCTGGTTTATAGTGAGAACCACAGGATATTGAAGCCCTTTTGGTACCTTTTTTAAAAATTAATTAATTTATTTTGAGAGCAATAGAGAGCCAGGGAGGGGTAGAAACAGAGAGAGAGAATCCCAAGCAGGCTCTGCATTGTCAGTGTAGCCCAATGCCAGACTTGAACTCACGAACCATAATATCATGACCTGAGCTGAAACCAAGAGCTGGATGCTTAACCAACTGAGCCACCCAGGTGCCCCTCTTTGGTACCTTTTTAATTATTGGATGGAGTCCAGAATACGCCCTAACCAATTCTTTTCAATGAAAAATAACAGCCATGGTGAGGTTCAGAGCAAAAAAGAACATGTTCTATTTGTGTGATTACATGAATCCATAATTCTAGTCTTCAAATATAACATTTTTGTTTGCATAACTGGTTGCTAAATGAAAATTTCTAGGAAAGTAAGTTATGGGTTTTTTTTGTTTGATTTACTCTGCACATGCTGAGAATATTTATCTATTGCAAGGGGAAACATATTTGATAGGGATCCAGTGATTTTGACAACACATGGTTAGTTCCTTCTTTTCTTGGGGGGAGGTTTCTGCCATGCCTCTTTGCAAGGTAAAAGGTTGGCGCCTCGTCACAATTACCTCCTGTGGGTGTTGCGGTTGCTGTTCACATGCCCTCTTCCTGTGCACCCCGGGGTGGGACACTTGAGCACGTTTTCATGCATGGCAAGAACTAAGCACAGAATGTCACATGAAAGAAAAGAATAATACATCATTAGTATATAACCCACCGACAAACCGATTACCCGACTTCACACTCAAATGCATTCGCTTCTCTAACCCACCACGCTCCCTCCCACACATATTTGGGTTGAAATAAATGAGCACGTAAGAACTTCGAAAATGAAACTCAGCACCCTTGCTCAAGTTTTAGCTTCTCTAACCTTCATGCTATGGTTCACACCAGACTTGCACAAGACTAATTTGGTCCTATTTTACTTAAACTAAGAAGCTCATGACCTTCCTTTTGCAGGTGAGTACTTTTCCTTGGAAGAGGGGGCAGAGAACATTGTTTGTCAGATGGTTCCTTCTATCTTTTCCCCAAAGTGTGAGCTTCTGAATATAGTCTTCTTCATTTCCTAAGAGATGTTATTTCAATTCCTCATCCATTTCCCCCACCGCCCACCCCCACTGCCCTCCAGTTATTGGTGAAAGAGCATGGCCAAGTGAACGACCAGGTAACCAGTTTGGTGAACAGATCAGATTCAGTGTTCGGCAAAACCATGCTTTTGAGAAAGGAGATGTCAAGGCACCCCCACCACTGGGGTTTGTATGACTCAAGAGGGATTTCAGTATGTGGGTTCAGAAAGTAGAGGATGTGGTACATCGACACTTTAAAACTTAGGAGGTGGCCCTTTCCTTCTCCTCCAGTCTCCTAGTTTCACAGCAAGGCTGTGGCGAGGGAGACCAACCAACATTTGCTCCTGCTCGGTGCTCTCCAGGTGCCCTGGGGAGATACGCAGGCAGCACCAGTGTCTACAAGGACATGGAAGCCACACTGACACTGGTGATGTGATGTACCTCTTATATTTAGATGAAGCCCTGAGGCTGAGACTGCTCGTAGGCTTAAGTAAGCCACACCTGTGGAAGAGAAAGGGCTGTGCGGGCACACAGTATGTTAACTATGCCTTTTCTGTGTTCTGATGGTTGGACATCTGGGGCCCTGCACAACCCAGGGAGACGGCCCTTTCAAACAGCTTTCAAAGGCAAACCAACCAGTCGTGAGCCCGCACCCAACTGCCTCCTCTATTAGACTGACACTGTCTACCTGCTGGGGAGCAGACACCAACGCACAACCCCTGCTAGAGTATCCAAACCAGCCAGTCCTCAGCCTGCTTCCTCTGATCCTTCCCACAGAACCCACAGGTTACCCCCCTCACCACCACTTGATGACCCCCATGCTTCCCCATGTGGCCCTGCCTGGCATGGCCCACACCCGTCTCTCAGGACCAGTAACAAATTCTTTTCTCAATGTTGGTTATCTCCTGATCTATTGGCCTAACTGTACCCCAAACTTTCTTTTTTAAAATAATTTTTAGGGGTGCCTGGATGGCTTAGTTGGTTAAGCGTCCGACTTTCGCTTAGGTCATGATCTCGCAGTTTGTGGGTTCGAGCCCCGCGTCGGGCTCTGTGCTGACTGCCAGCTCAGAGCCTGGAGCCTGTTTCAGAGTCTGTGTCTCCCTCTCTCTCTGACCCTACCCTGCTCACGCTGTCTCTCTCTCTCTCTCCTAGAAATAAATAAAACATTTAAAAATAAATAAATGAATGAAATAAAATAATTTTTTAAATGTTTATTTATTTTTGAGAGAGAGGGAGACACAGACTCCGAAGCAGCTCCAGGCTCTGAGTTGTCAGCACAGAGCCCGATCCGGGGCTTGAACTCTTGAACCGTGAGATCATGAGCTGAGCCGAAGTCTGACGTTCAACTGACTGACTCACCCAGGCACCCCTACCTCAAGGTTTCTATTAATATAATTATTTTAAACACCTAGCTAGATGGAAGTGATCATGACACAGAAAGAAATCTTTCCATTTCCATCTCTAACCCACAACTGGAGGAGAAAGGGGGTATAACATCGCAATGCCATGGCACATGTGAGAAGAAGCCTGCTCTTTGGGGGATAAGCAGTACTCACTTTCCAGGGGAACCCGCACTTTGTGGGGGCACCCCGAAAGGCTGCGGTGGTGGGGGTAGAGTCCCGTCACGTGGCCTGTGCCGTCGCACCCCGGGATGGGGCACTTGGTCTCCCTCTTTTCAGGCCTCGGTGAATCTACAGAGAAATTAAATCAAGAGATTCATTTGCTTCGTCTCCTTTCGCTTCCTGTTCAACAGTGGCCTTGTGTGGTGACATTGTCACTTTGCTCCATGTTTACATCGTAAACATTCTTCTCACGCTGCCTTGAATCAGACCCTCAACTAAAACCTGTGGATGCATAAAAAATGTTTTCAGTTTTCTTGGTTTCCTAAGCAGAGGCTGACACAGGGCAAGGGAGTGTTAACCAATGGAGATGGTTTTCAGTTGTCATGTCACATCTGGTAGTCAGAGTCTCATGATGAAAAATGAACCCTATGCCAGAGGACACATGGCTCCCGAAAGGGAGGGGGAAAAAGCGAGAAAGAAGAAAGAATTTATTGAAACCCAAACTATCTCTCATTCAATGGGTTTCAACAAAAGCCAGATTCAAAGTTAGAAAACTAAGAAGCCACCATGTCCGAGAAGGGGTTCCCTGGTCTTGACCTTGGGAGTACCCCCCCCACCCCGCCGCCCCTCACAGCCCCTCACATTGCCCTAAATTTTCAGGTCCCAGAGGCTGCTCATACATGTTGGGGGCAGGTCTGCTCTGACCAGCGTTAGGAAGGAGTCACGAAGGCCATCTTGGGTTGTGTCCAACCAAAAGTTTTCCTTTCACTCTGAATGTAGGAATTGAAACCTGAGCAATCGGACGTTGGCCTGGCCAGGAAGCACTCTAGGGGGAACGGAAGTTCGGAGTGGAGGAGGCCTTGCCTGGTCTGCAGCACCAGGAACAGTGGGGCGAAGGAGGGGACCCCAGGGACACCTTGGGATCCCACCTGTCAGGCCACCAGGGGGCTGCAGCCCAGAGGGAGAGAGTGGAACATGAGCTGGGCTGAGGGTGAGTTAGATCGAAGTCTATATAAACATGTAAAATAAATGCGGATTCTCACGAATAGCGGTGGGATTAGAGCTAACACAGAAGAAGCCTTCTTGGGCCATTTTCCTATTCGTGACTCCATTGGCGGAGAAACTGGAAACAGAAATGTTTTTAGGGCCACAGCCACCCCCGAACTCGGGTATGGCATGGTAAGACCAATCCCGGCGGGGGCGGGGAGGGGGACATTCCTGGTGCTAAGAGGAACCAAGTCACAGTGGCCCGGATGCCTCAGAGAGAGGACCAGTGTGGAGTGGGGGCTGGCTGGCTCCTCAGAACACTAAGCATTGCGAAAAAGGAACCCACTTGATGCTGAGAGTGACAGTAAATAATCCGCGACATCCAGCCACACGAAGGAGGGGGCCCAGGAGGAGGGGACAGAGCCCTGCGGTGCGAGGAAGTCCAGGGCCCATATGCTCCCACCGCCAGCGCCGCACCAACGGCAGAGCGATGTCGCAGGATGCGACAGCCGTCTCCGGGGGTGGCGGTATTGAGGCGAGCAGACACGCCTCTGTGATTCTGTGCCACCCGGGTCGTTGGATCACACACGGTCCTGGCAGATGGGCACAGCAGGGGCTGCTTCCAGAAAAGGGGGAGGGGGCCAAGGAGCCTTCGAGTTCCACGGTGGGCAGAGAGAGAGCTGGAATTTGTGAGTGAGAGGCGACAGCCCCAAGGCGGGGATGCCTTGAGTCACCGCCCGCGTTTATGTTCAATGAGGGACAGGCTTTAAATGCCACGGTGTTGAGATCATCCTCTGTCTTTGGCAAGACACAAAGAGGAGTATTAAGAGTTTTGACTTGCTCTGTGATTTTAGGGATATATAAACCCCAAAATGTTGCCAGCTTTGAAGTCACTGTAGGCCTATACTATCTGTAGACTGAGAATCCAAAATCCTTGAAGTCTGATTCAAGGGACATTAGGAGGGTCGACACCGTGTAGGAGAGGGAATTAGAGAAAAAGAAACGCAGCGTGGATTTTGATGCCCTTCCTCCCTTGGATCCGGTCCAGGTGAGGCCACATTTCTAAACCACATTGAAAGGGTTGGCACCTCTCGTTTCCCCTCCTCGCCACGTTGTTTGTCTCTAGGAAGCCAGAGAGGGTGTGGGAGATAAGGCAGGGCTGGCGCCTGACCAGGTGTGGCCCACCGACAGCCCCTCGTGCAGGTTAGTCTGCAAGCCTCTGCTGGGTGAAACCAGCACCATGAAAGGCTCTGTGGGGCAGAACCTGCTTGCATGATAAGAAATCAGAGCTTAGCTCTCAGGTGGCTCTTTTCCTTCTATTTTCTTTGCTGAATGCCTCGTAATGAGGGTGACCTTCTACTCTGGTGATCTTATATCCCCGTTTGCCTGGGCCAGTCTTATTCACACCTGATATACTCATGTGATGGGTCACGTGGCTCCCCTTGGCTCCATAAGTGTCTGAGGCTGTCCGGTAAATTCTACAGTCAGTGCAACCTCAAGTCTCACTAAATGCTTGTAGCAACAAGAGAGTCAAACTTTTATTAGTTTAGAATTGTCGACTCCTCTGAAGGCTGGAGTGAAGTGATATTTTAAGATGCTAGTGCTCTCTCCTTTAACAAGTGGGATTGCACACCCAAGGTGGATGGGAAGTTGGGATAGCATTATGGAGACGAGGACAAGCACTGGGGATGAGTACCGACCTAAGAGCAGGGAATGCACACCATGAAAGACGTGCCTCCCCGGGCCCCACGCCGGGAACATGGAACAGGGGAGTGAATTCCTAATTTGGCCTCTGCTAGCATCCTTGCATTCCTTCTAGACAAAGCTGATAGTTCTCGTGCATGATGAGCTTTACCTCTTTATGTCTCTGTTTCACACGAGTCTGGTCTGGACCTTCTTGCACAGGCAGTTCTCGTGCATGATGAGCTTTACCTCTTTTTGTCTCTGTTTCACACGAGTCTGGTCTGGACCTTCTTGCACAGGCTTCTACCACCACAAAGCAGGACCATGCTTCACACAATTGGTTATACTGTCGAGTCATCCAGCCCTCATGAGGGATTCTCTAAATCTTACACGACCCGTGTTTACAAACACAGATTCGATGGCCTTGTTAGTTTTTGAAAACAGACAAAAATTTTAAGTTCTATAAAAATGACCAAATATTTTAAGCAATGGCACAAATAATTAAAGTGTCTCCAAACACTGAATGTCATTGGGTGGAGGATAGCATCAATTGTAAGGTGGAACGTCCTTTTGTGTGCTAGTAAGAAAGAAAAAAAAAACAACTGGAAATTAAATTATGCCGTACCCTTCTGATTTCAGAGATGTTAAAATGGGAAAACGGTGTATCTTAGCATGAATGAAAAGTAGTCTATCACAGATTATGACTTTTTGGAATTTGAAGTCAATTTTATGTTTTTTCCCCTGATTCCATAGTTCATAAACAACAACAACAACAACAACAGGCGCATACATAAGCAAGTTCAACTAGTTGAATGTTAGTGGAGCGCACAGAGCTAAGTAGTGAGTCAGTCCCGTCCCAAACCACACGCTGCTCATAAATGTTCTGTCCAGATCCCAACTCTGGCAAGATGCTTGCATAGTATTATTATCTTGCTCCTCACTACATCACATTATTTTATTCCTTTTCTCAGCTCTGAGCTGCAAGACAGTAATTGACAAGATTGCAGGTGAGTACTAAAGTCAACTTAAAATGACAAAATATACAATTTGTTTCTGCATCAATCTCAGCATGGAGATCATCTAAACTAACACATTTTTTTCTTGTAAGCCCCCTGGGGCCATGACCTTGATTTTCTCTAAGACATTCCCCCCCCAATTCTGTGGTTCTTAGACTTTAGGGTACCCAAGAATCATCTGAAAAATGTGCTTAAAAATGTAAGTTCTGGAGCCATAAGTCTCATGGGATCTGGGAGCTACCCATCTTAAACAAGCTTTCTAGGCCCTTGAAAACCAACTGAGAATTACCACCAGGCCCATCTGGTGCAAGACTTGGGGTGGGGGGAGGAATATCTTTGTGGGAGAGGGGACACAATTTCTCTAAGTTCAGGGACAATTTTAAAGTCTCCTCCAAGTCTCTATTCTGTCATTCATGTTTGGCCCAGATATTTGTGGCTCTGAGTTAGAGACCTGGTAAAAGCATAGGCTTAAAACAGCACAGGGGCACCTGGGTGGCTAAGTCGGTTAAGTGTCTGACTTCAGCTCAGTTTATGATCTCACAGTTCATGGGTTCGAGCCCCGTGTCGGGCTCTGTGCTGACAGCTCAGAGCCTGGAGTCTGCTTCAGATTCTGTGTCTCCCTCTCTCTCTGCCCCTCCCCTGCTCACACTTTGCCTCTCTCTCTCTCTCAAAAATTAATTAAAAACATAAAAAAATTTTAAAACAGCATTAACATCCAGTATTATCCAAAGAAGGAGCAGACCATCCTGCCTGACCAGCCAGGAACTTGATATTATTTTGAAGCTACAAAGTAGTCAGATGATCCCAGAAAGAGAGTGGAAAAGATAAATTAAATTTCTGCAATTGATTTGATTAATAAAAATTATTTAAAACCCTGTAAGAACTAATGTACTTCTAACGTGTTTAATAAAGTACTGTATGAGAAGTACTCTATATTTTTAAGAACCAGTCATATTAGGAGAAATAGAGGTAACGTTCCTTTTTTTGAATGCAAAAACACTGCAAAACTGACCAAGCTTGATCTGAGAACAATCTAGAGAGCAAAGAAAAAGAAGAAAAAAGAAATTATTTATGTTATATTATAAATTGGTTTTTAAATTGCATCACATTGTTAAAAGCTACCTGGAAATGGTCATCAAATCTTACTAAGTTTTTTCCCCAACTCTTAAAGCCATTTTATTCCTAAAAAATGCAAAAAAAAAAAAAGTGTCTTACGTTTACTGTTAAAGATCTGTCTTCCACCCATGTCAATAACTTTGGCTTGCCTCCTTTCCCCAGCAAGGTGCTCCAATAGAAACCTGTCCAACTCTTTGTAGGTGTTATGGAAAACACAGCTTCGGTCAGCCTGCAGAGCGATTGCCTGCTCCAGCACACACAAGTTCCCCTTTGCTTTCTCCAGGTCACCAGACTCTTCCGTCATGGCGGCCAGGCTCCCATTCCCATCGTCCTCCATCCCGGCGAATGAGGGCTGGCCTTTGCTATCCAGCGGCTCCATGCGAGTGTTCTGCGGGTCTCTCCTTTCTGATTCAGAGTCACACACGTTCTCACAAGGGAGAAACTTGTCACCTTCAGTTTTTATTTCAGGAACTTCCAATAGGTCTTTTCTATCATCCACTAAAATATACTTTGGGACCCTGTGTGGTTTGGTTTCTTCTGAGAAGTTAGAGCCACTGTCCCAGCCATTCTCTGCACTTTCAGAGTTAGTCTCACTGTCATCGGAAGAGCAGAACCGAACCTCGGGATCGTCGATTTTTTCTTTTCCATCGTCAGGATGAAGCATAAAGCACTCATCAGCTTCATCGCTCTCTGCTTTTAGAGGCTGGATGCCACTGCCATTTAAGTTCTCCCTTACAGTTTGAACAGACACATTTTTTTCAAATTTCCCCAAGTGCATTAAAGATTTGACCACGAGCTCTTGATAGCAGCCATATCTGTCTTCTTTCCCATTGGAGTTTTCTTGTGCAGTTGAATGAAGGAGCTCATCCCTAGGCTTTATCATGGTTTCTTCTATGGAAAGAGAAAGTCAATGTTAAAAACAAAAACAAAAGCAAAAACTATTTTAAGAAAATTGCACCAATATATAGATGATAGATGAATTGATACAGATATACAATAAGCATGATATGCGAATATGTGGGCTCTACCAATTTTATAAACACTGAAGAGAAAAATATATCTTTTTAAAATAAAACAAAACAGAGCTTAGTCGTCTGAGAATTGAGTTTAAAGAAGTGAGCTAGTAGAATTTGCAGCATATTAAGAGCTAATCGTTTCCAGGGTGCTGAAATACATACTTAACGATAAATCACAGAGTGCTGAATGTGAAATTATTGCTTCTCTTTTTACTTTCCTTAAAGAGAGAGAGAGAGTATGTGTGTGTGAGTGGGAGAGGGTCAGAGAGAGACAGAAAATCCCAAGCAGGCTCCACGTTCCATGCGGAGCCCAGATGTGGTGTGCCATCCCATGGCTGTGAGATCATGACCTGAGCTAAAATCACAAGTCAGACACTTAACTGGGCCCCCCAGGTGCCCTTACTATACCTCACTATTTGCAAATCCTAGCCAATCAGAAGGAAATCAAATATGCATAATACCATGCATACTATAAAAGCAACATTCATCAGATTTCTCTGCTAGCGTGGCAATGTATTTTCAGAGCTTATTTGGTGTATGTTCTCCACCTCCGCAGTTTCTCAAGCATACTTTCAGATGTCATGGAAGGTTAGCTAAAATACAAAATACATCCACATAGAGATGACAACAAAAAGAGTTCTGAAGCTTTCAAGACTTCCTGTTCACGTTCATAACTGTGACATGGAAATTCTGTGCCAAGGGAAACACAGTGATCATGTATCCTAAATAGTAACACATTTTCTGGCCTGGCACTTGGCACGCATTCATGTAAGAAGGCAAGGAGACCAGAGGTGGCATGGTTTCAGTATGGAGACCATTAACGAATCGTGTTCAGTAGAGGGTTGACTGGAGTCTTGACAGTAAAAGGCCCCTCCCTGTGACCAAGGTCTCCACATGCCAGTCTCTCAGGACAGCTTGCTGGATCTCGGTTGTCCTGGTCCAGCTGTTAGTGTCACCCCTTCACTCTTGGTGGTGACCCAGCTGCAGTGACAACGTGTGTGTGTGTATAGTCACATGTATGCATATCTATGTATTCAGATAACTGGATGTGTGTATGCACATATATACATACGTGGATGTGTGTGTATATATACACACATAATAACAGTCAGCCCACCCAAGCCTGTCCCGGTGCAAAGACACCAATTAAGGGGCCATCAGAGATGTGTGTCACCAGTCCCCCAGCCCCGGCTTAGCCTGTGTGGTGGTCTGTGGAGCAGGGCGTCCTGCACACGCCTGGCTGTGAAACGTGCCCGACAGCCCAGCAGTGGTCCCTAATATTCACTAAGACCAAAAAGAAAAAGGAGAAGAAGAAGAAGCAGCAGGACCATTTCTGTGTGTTTAAAGGCAGAATGGGGGATGGAAAACATGAAATAATAAGCCCCCTTCAAGACTGTGAAAGACCCCAAGTGAAGGGCGCTCTATGTGAATAAGCATCTCTGGAGGGAAGAAAAGGGTGGCCATCCCGTGTGATGGCCGCGGGAGAGGGTGTCTGTGCACAAGACAATGTGCCTTTTCTGGTCTCATTTAATTTTTTATAAACATTGTCTCTGACAAGGACACTCAAAAATACATCTCCATCATCTTCCTTTCTGGTAATTATCTCCCTAAATCAACACCGGACTGCCAGGATCAAGTAAATATTGCCATAGTAACTAAAAGCATTTTTGGATGCGGGGAAGAATTTAGTCACAACACTAGCCCCTTTAAATAATGCTGATTATAGGGTGCAGTCTTTTGTGGGGATCTATTCAACATAAACTGAAAAATTTAACATTTTACTTCCTAGAAAAGAGGCTGGATAAACAAGCACATAATATTTGATAGGACAGTCTATTCTCTCCTGAATTCCTATCAGAGGAGTTCCAGGTTTAAATAATATATTAAACATAGTCTAAAATGCAAATGAAGTTTTTCTCAATATCATGGTTGGCTATTAGGAGAAAGTGTAAAGGGTTATGATAATTTTAAAGTATTATGAACTACAGAAAACAAATAAAAAGCATTTTCAGTGAATATGCTCAATTCATTGAACTATTCTCTCACTCCACTTAACTACCCACATGTGTACAATAATGATTTATAGACATTATACCTAATTATGCATATTTGGGCTGTGTTAGAGTGCTAACAAAAGCTCTAGAAAGCAACAATTACCTCTGTTGCTTAGCTACATAGTTTAAAATATTCCTATTAAGTGCAGATCACCAGAGAGGCGGGAGCCACAAAAACGCACATGTGCGCGACAATGCGTTTCACTGTGCTGTTGCCAACTGCTAGCATTTTGGGTCATTTCCAGTTTACATAATTGTTTGGTTCAACTGTTTGTTATATGCTAAAAGAAAATATTTATTAATTATTCTTCAGGAAGAGGGGAGTCCTGCCGATAGAGGGGCCTGCGTGCATCGCTCGCCACGGTTTCCAGGACGTTCAGCAAATCTGCAAACCAACTTTCCACGGACCCAGACCTCTCTGGCTTTCTGTCGTTATAAGAAAAAAAAAAAAAAAGTTGAGTTAGCTTTTGAACCTGACAGATCTGTGACGAGGTGTTTGTTTCGCTGAGCTTTGTAGGGGGCTGTCAATGGTTTTATGTTAGTGTGTTCTTATTTTCACCAGTGGCTCTGTGATTTATTTTGTGCCTTTGCCATTGAAACAGTTACCCTGGTTTGGATTCTGGGCTTGCGTGCTCAAGTCTGTGCAGACCCCGAAGGCATCCTGTACCTTTCCAAAGCCTGTGTCCTCACTCACGAAGTGAGGCCCCTGCATAGGTCTCATCGAAGGGCGTGCAGAGCGTGAGCCTCATGACAGGTGTGCAGTAAATGGTGGCTCTCTTCTCCCTTCCCCAGATACAACTTCAGAAGTAGTGATGGCAGAGGATACATGGAACCCTCCACAGAGATGAGGTGGGGCCTGGCTTTCGTTTATTATTTTTGAGAGAGAGAGACAGGGAGTGAGCAGGAGAGGGGCAGAGAGAGAGGGAGACACAAAATTTGAAGCAGGCTACAGGCTCTGAGCTGTCAGCACAGAACCCGACATAGGGCTTGAACCCATGAGCCGAGAGATCATGACCTGAGCCGAAGTCGGCCACTCAACTGACTGAGCCACCCAGGCACCCCTGTTTTTGTTTAGAATAAATAGCCAATCATGGCGCCTGTGTGGTCAGTTGGTTAAGTCACCCACTCTTGATTTCGGCTCAGATCATGATTTCACAGATTATAGGTTTGAGTCCCACATAGGGCTCTGCATGATGGTACAGAGTCTGCTTGGGATTCTCTCTCTCTCCCTTTCTCTCTCCCTCTCTGTTCCTCTCCCACATGTGCTCTCTCTCTCTATCTCAAAATAAATAAACTTCAAAAAACAACTGGAAAAAAGGAATAAGTAGTGAATCTGATGCCTGAGAAAGGGCACGGGCCACAGTGTGAAGGGAAAGTTGATCACTGATACCACACATACTGGGGAACTTCTCGCCAATTGCCTTCAGAAACTGGAGGTTCAATTCACAATGCATGATATGGAGGGAAAACTGCTATGGGTTTGAGGTTCAGAGATGTGGGCCAAAGTGCTGGCCCAGCACTGTCTTTCTATGTGACCTTGGATAGGCCCATGCCTCCTGAGTTCTGGGTCCTGCTCTTGAAAATGAGGACAATCCAGTGACATCCTAGGACAATAAACTGATGTTCCTGGTGTGGTGTTCGGTTCTTTATTGCATTTAATCTTTACAACAAGGACAAGAAAGTCCCATTCCATCTTACAGAAGGGAAACTCTTTTCTAAGGAGCTATGGACTTGCTCAAGTTCATGCAGCTAGCCAGTGGTGGTGGAGGGGGATGTGGTTTGGGGATTTGAGATCCAGACCCAGAGCCATGTGCCTCCTTACTCTGTGCCCATCCCTTGGCAACAAGCTACCCCAGACCCCACAGCCTGGGAAGCTCAAATGCCACAGTTGATGTTTACAAAACACAGCGACCTGTGGGAGAGACTGTTCAGAATATTAATAGCCTATTATTTTCCCAAGTTCGGATACTTTCAAAAGTGAATTCATAGGAAAATACTAAAATACAATTGTCAGCTGACTTTCAATGAGAAACAATGACTCCTCGATGATAAAAGTATAAATAAAATATGCAAAGATGAGTAAACAACAGCAGCAAAACAAAAATGAACAAGAAACCACACCATGGCTTTCTCAATACCCAAACAGTATAGGTCAGGAAATTCCTAGGGTGCTCTCCTGGGGTGAGAGATGGGTGATTACCTAAGACACCTCCTCCTCCTAAGAGCATTTCAAATTGTGGGGCAGGGTGGAGGGGACGGAGCTGGAAGACTTGGTATAAAGTCCACCTGCTGCGACTTGGAATAAAAAAAGGAAAATGTTTTAGCCCAATATGTAAAAGTCCACATTTGTTTATTTGCTTTAAACCAAAGTCTCTGAGGTGTTTGGTAATCCTAGAAAGTATATGCTAATGGATTTTCACATTACATGTCAGCTGTTCTGCATCAAAACAACTTTAAAAAGTCCTCTGAAAATCCCAAGCTTTAAGTTTGACTCTTTTAATATAAGTGGATTTTAGTTCTGTTTCTGGAAGTATCAACGTTACTTCTATAGACAAATTAGTTTTCCAGGTCTCTTGAATATGTAAATTTTGCTGGGAACAAAAGCCCTAGAAAAATGAATTTATCCTTCAAAGTTCTAAAATTGGGGCGGTTTATTCCTTATATGTGAGTTTTTAAGAGGTAAGATGTGTTAAAATGATCATCCCAGCCCCTTTAGCTCTTACAATTACGACAGATTTCCGTTGAATCATGAGTACATGCTTAGAAACTGAGGAGAGGGGAGCGCCTGGATGACTCAGTCAGTTACGTGTCCGACTTTGGCTCAGATCATGATCTCATGGTTTGTGGGTTCGAGCCTTGCATTGGGTTCTGTGCTGACAGCCCAAAGCCTGGAGCCTGCTTCAGATTCTGTGTTTTCTTCTCTCTCTGCCCCTCCCCTGCTTGCACCCTGTCTCTAACTCTCAAGAATAAATGAACATTAAAAAAAAGAAAAAGAAAGAAACTGAGGAGGGACTCCACACATGTGGCTAAAGTGACCTTTCTTTCCCTGTCTGTAAGGCAGAAGCACTGCCTACCGCCTCCTGGCAGTACTTTACACACTTGTCTTCCCTTTGCCTCAGTGAAGAAGGTGCATCCGTAATCTCTTCTATCACCATGAATGCCCACCTGCAGATCTTTGAAAGATAGCCAGTTGAGGGTGTGAGATGTAGTTTGGTGATTAAATGAATTCCAGTTTAGGACCTCAGCCTTCCTGAGCCCTGCTCCCTCTCTTCATCACCTGAACTGCCCGCTGAAGATACAATTGGGCACACACCTGGACAGGTAAAGGCCTTGGGGGACCCGGGGTAAATGAGAGGACAGGTGAAAGTCCCCTATGCTGGCTTGGGCACTAACTCAGCTCTCTTTCTTTCTGGAGAGAAGGGGTGACTTGCTCACAGACTGAAAAGCATGGAGAGTTTTCCTCTTTCAGCCAGGGATAGGAGCATCTGTGACCTGTCATTTCTGGAAATGTGACTTTGTGATGTGATGTTGTAAAATGCTGCCCTGTCTACTTTCTGAAGGTAGTCAGAGCATGGTTAGAATTGGATTACGGAGCACAGTTAGCTGGGAAATAATTGTTTTGCTTATTCTTCAGTTGTGTCCTAATTATCTTCTTTTCAACACCCATGAGCTGCATTACCTTAAGCATTAAATCTCTTCAGTCTTCAATGATCTCATCTGTAAAATTGTGACCATAATCATGCATACCTCATGTCATTGTTAGGTGGATTAAGTGATATGATTTACGTGCCTGGAATATATTAAGAATTCAAAAATAATGGCCACTACCACTATAATTTCAGCATATTCATTATTAGTAGTACTTCTAGTGCTAAATCTAACAATAGATAACATTTGGGAAGCTGCAAATAGATGTCCATCAATGCTGGCAAGTGAGTGTTTCACTGAGTTGGCAGTATATCTTCCCGGTTGATATCAAGCATCTATGATGATCACATGACTAACATAATAGGCAGGAAGTCAGTGGGCGACCAGTCCTGTCCTCATGGCACTTACAAGAATGTGTTGGTGTAAAAGATGCCCATTTAAAAAAAATACTCAGTGAATTAATGTCCACTAGATGATTTATACCTCAGGTCTAACCACATCGATTCAAGAACCTTCCCGAATACTGGATTCACCCTGCAATTTTCATAAATCAATGAAAAACTGACCAGCTCAAGGAAACACAGAGTCAATGATGATTATAATAGACAGATGACCGATGAGGCTGCAAGCCATATGCTAACTATAGAAAAGCCAGGACATTTACTTAAACAGTGCCAAATCTGAATACAACTTTGTTTCAACTGCAAAATCTCAAACTACTGCAAGCCAAGATGACTGAAGATCTGATGGTTGTGCTCTGACATTTGTGTTCATTCAGTCAGTACACTTTTACATCTTTTCTATTAATACCCATCACTATTACTATAATTTTTTAAATTATAGATATTTATGATTTAAGAACTCACTGTTTGGGGCTTGTATGATACATACTTCTTTTCAAATAACATCTTATTGAGTGTATTTTGATTCCTTAAAAAGCCACGGTCGGAAAGACATATTTCATAGAATATATGTACACCTCATTTCATTTTCTAACTAGTCAAGCTTTAGATTTCCATTTATTTTTTTTCCACAGATTTTGAAGACATGTCCTTCAATTTCAGTCTCATGTATAAAGTGGTTGGTGATGGTCCAACTCCTGGGGGTGCTGTGACTACCACGAGCCAAACAGAAGTAACTGTGAACTGGCGAGAAACACATCCTAAAATTTCAAAATGGTAACTACATATCACTTAGCATGCAAACAGCATTTCATGAGTGAGTGGAGAATCAAATTCATGAAATATAATGTGTGCCTCAAGACAGAGGAAAGTTATTTATTTCTGAACTACTGGGCACATTGATACATTTTCTATAATACATCACTTTCTCACTGAAGGAGACCCTGGACAGCCAACTTTAGGTCTTTTCTGCTAAGTCCATCGCTGTAAGTATTTATTTTTAGGATGGTAAAAATATTAAGGTCACAGGCCACCTGTATTAGTCTGTGTTATTACCAAATATATTTTTGGGAGGCTAAATACTACTCTGCATGTTTATAAAACAAAAAAGTAAATGCTTTATTTATATACGTCCTATCTCAGATACCTTAAGCTTAAATATGTCCTTTTATTTTTAAGGGTTCTTTCAGGGATAAACATCTGTCCTATTAGGGAGTCAAGGTACTCTTTATTATCTTCAAAAAGAGGCACAATCCAATTCTATGCATTTGAAAATGGACTCAGGGCAAGGATTCTCTATGGCTTACATTTAGACCCTCCACAGTTACTGACTAAAAAACATCGGCCCTCAGTAACTGGATACTGAGTGAAATACATGTTAGCTTTTGCTTCCACATTGGAATTTGCATTTACAGCCACACAGACTATACGTTCTACGTAAGTTAAGTGTGAGTCTTTGGTGCCTGGGAGTAGATAAAGTTTGAGCCACTGCCCTTGCTACCTGTGGCGGTGTGACCGCTGGCTTCTGGGAGGCCTTCTTCCTCCTCCGCCTCGGTCCTGTCATCACAGTCTTCTTTGCAGTCCACGTTTGGGCTGTAGTGTCGGGGCTTCATTAGCAGGGATTTTCTCTTGTTGACTGGGACACCCAAAGCCTGCTCTGCAGCCCTCCTCTTCTTCGCCATGGAGCAATCGTAGGCAGCGCTGTAGTGATTGAGGCAAATTAAGAACATGGACAAACACTTTACTGCTACTTGCCATTTGATTTCCGTGAGGTGTAACCCAAAGCCTGTGGAAACCTGAGACCAATGGTTTAGGGTTAGTTGTTGGCACTAATGAACATAGCCTATCCATTGAAATCTACTGAACTGTGTGGATTCTATTTTACTGCCTATCAGAAGAGTTAAAAAAAAAATCATCCTTAATCCTGAGTAAGCATATGTTAATCTGTGCTTTGCTTGGCACTACATTAAATACCCAGGGAGGGATGAAACAAGATTTGCACTGGTTCGCTAATCCTAAGAAACAGCTAATGTGAAAAATATACCACCAGACACACAAAAACACGTGTCCAGTATGGATAAATCACAAGGGTTTTCAAACAGTTGTTTGCTACCCAAATTGCTTATCTCTGCCACAGTTGTGCCTCAAACTTGAGATGCCACATCCTGAGCTTTGACCTGAAAGGAAAAAGCATAAAGGGAGGGGTAAACTGGGAATATGCTGTCAACCCATCTCCAGCCACACAAGAAATAAAAAAATAAAAAGAGGTGAAAAGATGCTACCTGGCATTCTGCCTTTTGATTCTCACCCATTTGGCACACAGAACAAACAAATAAAAGGAGGAGAAATAAGATTGGATTTCACAAAAATGGACAACAGTTTATCCCTATTCTTGTCCTCATATGATTTCACTTTGGAAATGGTCCTGAGGGCAGCCCTTTCAAAACAGATTTCCTACATATAGCTCACTCAGAATTAATACTGATCACTCTCTGTGCTGAAGTTAAGAGAAACATTCTTTTGGCAAGATGGAGGAATACCAGAGGGTTTAGCTCACAGTGAGTCTGTGAGAGATATTTATTAAATGCCCTTTGAAGAAAAATGCAAAGCCTTAGAAGCAAAGATCCAGAATAGAGAATCTTAGAGTAATAAGACACTACTTACTCCATCACACACAAAAAATGATTGAATACTCAATAATATTATCAAGTAGACAAAGGCCTTACATTGTTCTCTGGGGAACATCGATGCAAAGATGGTGGCCCCGTTCATAAAAATTATTTGATTATAGTCGTACATGAATTCTTGAACTTAGGACAGTAGATTTAAAAACTTCAGAGGGAGATAAAAGTCATTCCTTCCAGGAAAAAAAAAGAATCTAGAAGAAGAGATAACCACGGAATTTAAAAAGCTCTCAAAAAAAGATTAAAAAGCAGATAATTGAAAACTATCCCGCAGAAGAGAACAGGGACCTTCCCAAATAAACTAATTTCCCTTTGCAAAATCTCCCTGATGAGCCCAAATTTAAAGTGGCCCTGCACAGAAGATGGAGCAAAAGAGAATATAACCAGATGACTATGGCAGCAATAACCTGCCTTTATATGGAGACTCTAGAAAGTAAAAACATACATGGCCTAAATCTGCTGGTTTGTCAAGGAAAAGTCTACAGCATGGGGTTGTGATGCAATGGGAGTGTGCATAAAGGGGTAGAACCACCCTTACATGACTCTTATTTGTCAAGGAGACTGACCTTAGAAGGAAGAGGGATGGAGAAACTTATCAAAAAGGATACACTTCCTAGGTATGTGAGGAGAGTTCAAGAACTTCTCCACACTAGTTAAAGTCTCCTGAATCCAATGAACTTCCATCAAAGATGCTCAGAAAATATACAAGACCACTAAACTATTATCTCAAATCAAGAAGATTCATAGAAAACGAGAGAGGCTCCTGGCAGATGTCATTCAGGTATTAAAGCAGGGAAAAAAAGTAGATTCTAAAAATTACTTTAAGCATACCATTTGTCCTGGGGAAAAGGCCAGGAAAGTTGATCAAAATAAAGATTTGTAAGGGTCAGGAAACACTGATTGTTAAGACCCAGGTAACAGGGCTGTTAACTAACTGGCTGATCAGGAAGATGTCATTTCTTTCATGGTTGATGGATGAGACTGAACATCTATTCCTTGTAAGATCCTTACAAAGTCTTGTTATTTCTGTTACCCAAATTTACCTAGAAATACAAGTATCATTCTCAGGATCACATATCTGGTCGTTGGTGTGGCTGATATTTGAATCCCAAGCTGGTGGACCCCAGAGCTCAGGCTTTTTCCTATGTGTTGCCAAATTAAAACAATGAATTTTGCTAATTTCCATATGCATTTGACAACCTGGATCAACCAGCCACCTTTCCAAATAAGTGCAGGTATGTAGGACACTCATCAGATCTGGAGGTAGTACTGAGTTGCAGCAGTGAAAATCATGTTGCAAAATGTAATTAAGATGCCCAAAGTGTCCATCATTTGGAGTTGTAGGGTGAACCCAATGAGATGACATTTAAGGGTGATAAAAATCAAGTTAGGTGTCTAGGTCCAAACAATAAGTGTGCAAGGATGAAGGGGCTATGTAAGGTTTTATTGAAGGTATAAATTTAGCCTAAAATGTATGGTTGTATTTGATAGTGTGTATGAAGTTCCTTAAGTAATATTATCTGTGTAATCTGGAAAAAAAATTTTATTTTTTGGAACATCAAATTCCTTATCTGTCGAATAGGGATAATAATTTCTATATCACGTGTTGTGGATAGAGAAGATAACATCGGTGCTGTGACGGACTAAAATAGGTCAAGATAAAACTGTTCTGACTCGCAGCTCAGTGCTCCTTGGACTCCATCAACATCAGACTGACACTGTCACAATATACCTCACAAATTCTCTCGCTAGCACACTGCATAGATTTATGCATGCTTATATGTCCGTAAAGGCATTCTAATTTTTTACATATTATTTCTATTTACATAAATTACACAAGATTTATACATAATGTTTGCTTTAAATCTCACATTCTGTGCATTTCTCCATTGCAAAGTAGCCATGGCCCAGGCAGCATTTGGAGCTAAAATGAAAGGCTTTATAATAAATATTACCCTTTGTGTGTGCATGGAAAATGGTCCCTTTCCCTAGTTTTCCCTGAGGGCACACTATTTTGGCTTTATTGTGACACTTCACTGTGACACTGCAATGAGGGAAAGCCATGCTTTACATGTCACTGAAAGAAATGCCACAAAATGCTAACATATCTTCTCAAGGTTGCCAGAAATAATTTCCACTGGGTTGTGTTTTCCCATCTGCGGAGCTCTGAAATGTTAAGGAAATAAATGAGCTCTATTATCTATATTTTTCTAGTAGATGAGAAAGAAAGAGAAAAAATACTCTCAGCCCTGCATTTATTGTTCTATTCAATCAAACTGTTGCTTTAAACATCCAGAGTCCTCGAGGGAACTTTATCAATGCACCAAATACCTTTCAACACCACATTTTCATATCTGTGGTTTTGACTTTATTAAATATCTTTAAAAGATCTGTATATTTACTTGAGAAAAATTTTTGGTTACATATTTGAGAAATGCTTCCATTTAGAAGCTCAGAGTCGAATTTGAAATGGTATTCCCTTTGATGATAATATATGGCTGAAATTTCATTCAAAACAATGATTGAGAAAAACAACAATTAGATAACTTTAATGATAGACTCCGGGCTGGAAGTTTGTTTAGAAGTCACATCTGTTGATCTTTCAGATTTCAAAAAAGAGTACAACAAATTAGGGAACTGTGAATTCCCAAAATTTGTCCAATAAACACTGGGCTCTATAGCTACAGTTTTCCAGCTTATATTCCACAGTAATAAATTCTCAATGCAAGTTACAAGAGGACATGTAACAAACTTAAAAATGCAGGTTATACTCTGAGTGCACTCACCTCAAAAAGTAAAATAGAAAAATCAATGGAAGTTATGAATCCCTGAGCCCATGGAAATTATTTATATGTTCCATTCCTATGGAATATTCATAGCAGATATTCCTATGGATTTCTTTTAATTAGGAAGAACACCAAAAAATTAACAATAGAACTCCCCTATGACCCAGCAATAGCACTCCTAGGAATTTACTCAGGGGATACAGGAGTGCTGATGCATAGGGGGACATGTATCCCAATGTTCATAGCAGCACTCTCAGCAATAGCCAAAACATGGAAAGAACCTAAGTGTCCATCAACTGACGAATGGTTCAAGAAGATGTGGTTTATCTATACAATGGAATACAATGAAATCTGGCCATGTGTAGCAACATGGATGGACCTTGAGGGTGTTATGCTGAGCAAAATATGTCAGGCAGAGAAGGACAGATACCATATGTTTGCATGTATAGGAGGATTAGGAGGAACTTAACGGAGGACCATGGGGGAGGAGAGGGGGAAAAATAGTGGGGGAGAAGGAGGGAGGCAAACCATGAGAGACTCTTGAATGCCGAGAACAAACCGAGGGCTGATATGGGTGGGGGAGGGAATGGGGGGATGGGCATGAAGGAGGGCACCTGTGGGGATGGACAATGGGTGTTATATGGAAACTAACTTGACAATAAACTATTAAAAAAAATAAGGAAGAACACCACAGACTTGTGGAAAGGAACCAAGATGCATAAATTTGAATTAAGATGATTGGCAGAAAAAATCAACGGTATGATAATTGAAAAAGAAAAAGAAATTAAATTATTATTATTTTCAGAGACATGATTTTATTTAAGGAAAATCCAAAAGAATCTACAGATAAAATATCAAAATAAGAAAGCTCATTTAATGAAGTCATTAAAAATTACTTGAGCTTCTATAAAGCATCAATAAAAAATTAGAGGGACCACCTGGGTAGCTCAGTTGGTTGAGAGTCTAGGCTCAGGTCATGATCCCAGGGTCATGGGATCAAGCCCACATCAGGCTCTGTGCTGAGCATGGAGCCTACTTAAGATCCTCTCGGGGCGCCTGGGTGGCTCAGTCGGTTAAGCGTCTGACTTCGGCTCAGGTCATGATCTCACGGCTTGTGGGTTCGAGCCCCGCCTCTGGCTCTGTGCTGACAGCTCAGAGCCTGGAGCCTGTTTCAGATTCTGTGTCTCCCTCTCTCTCTGACCCTCCCCTGTTCACGCTGTCTCTCTCTCTCTCTCTCAGAAATAAATAAAACATTTTTAAAAAAAGATTCTCTCTCCCTCTGCCCTTCTCTCCCACTCACTATCTCTCTCTCAAATAAAAAAAAATTTTTAATTAGAAAAAAGTTAAAAAATAAAACCATTTATAATGCAGATGTATAAAATACTTAGGAAGGAATCTAAAAAAGATGCATAAAACTTACACAAAACATTTAAAGAAAATTAAACAACTAAAGAGTGAAATATAAGATGTGCATGGAATAAAAGACTCAGTGTTAGAAGACTTCAATTCTTCCCAAATTTATCTATTAGATTCAATGAAATCTCAAACAATGTTCCAAAAATAATTTTTTTAGAAACTAACAAGTTAAGGGGCACCTGGGTGGCTCAGTAGGTTAAGCATTCAACTCTTGGTCACGGCTCAAGTCATGATCCCACGGTTTGTGAGATCGAGCCCCCCGTTGAGCTCTGCGATCACAGTGCGGAGCCTACTTAGGATTCTCTCTTCCTCTCTCTCTGCCCTCCCCTGCTCACATGTGTGCTCTCTCTCTCAATAAATTAACTTAAAAGTAGAAGTTAACAAGTTAATTTTAGAATTATGAATTCTATGAAAATGGAAAGAGCATACATACACCATCTTGACAAAAACAACAAAGTTGAAAGACTTATAGTTCTAAATGTCAAATAATTTATATTTATCATATAAATTATCTATAGTACTCAACATAGAGTGTTGTGATGCAAGCATAAACAAATAGACCAATGTAACACAACAGATATTCTATCCACCGGGTCCAGAAATAGGCTCACACTTATATGGTCAATTTTGGACAAAGGCATCATTGAGAAAAGGATTGTTTCCTCAGTGAACGGCACTGAGTCAATTCAATATCTATCTGGAAATAAAATGTCTTGACTTCTACGTCATAGCATATACAGCAAACAATTCCAGAAGAATTATGGGTTGAAAAGACTAAAAGAGAGTAGAAAAAGTAATCCGTTCAATGGGAGAAGGTATTTGCAATTTGTCTTTGCTTTAAAAAAAAAAAAAACCTTACATACAGAATATATAAGTATTTCTTGCAAATAAATAAGAAAATGACAATCAATTTTAAAAAGTGGGCAAAAGATGTGCACGAGCACTTACAAAAGAACATAAATGAAGAGGTGTTCAGGCTCTTTCAACTCCAAAGAACTGCAAAAATATATATTGGTTTCTTGGCTAATAAAGTGATAACAATAAGTAGAATCCTCTAAAACTTCTCTCTTCCCATCCCCAAAATAGTAAATCCAAAATCTTATATTCTAGAAAGAATAGTAAAGATTAGTGCCATCCTTAAACTTAGAGGATGTATGACCATATAATTTTTCCATTAAATTCACCAGTGCAGATTCTAATAAGAATGTTCCTGGTGATTAACAGCAGACTACCACAAGCTCAAACACATAATAGTTGTAACTGCAGCAGCTAGACCAAAAATGGAATCTTTGCTTTAGTAGATTAACACAGACTCAAATATGTGTTTTGCAGTCACTGACATGGCAAATTTATTTCCCATCTCTATCAGAGAGAAGAACCAGGCCAGTTAGCATTCCAATGATAAGGAAAAGGGTGTCGCTCTAAAGTCTTGGTGAAGACTGAGCAAATTCTACTGCCCTTGAGCATAGTACAGGGTGAAGGAACCTGAGTAATCTAGATATCCCACAACATTTCACATTGGTAAATTATGTTGACAACATGTTACCAAGAACAGATAGTCAGGAAGTAGCAAGTATTTGGAAGCTTTGGCGAGACGTCTGTGTTCCAGAGGGTATAAGGTAAACCAACAAAGATTCAGAGGCACACCATATCATTGAAGTTTTTAGGAGTTCGGGGGACTGGAGCATTCTGGATGTCCCCATTTATAATAAAGCACAATTTATCACATCTCACACTTTCCACCACTGAGAAGGAAGCAAAATGCTAGATGGGCTTCTTTAGGTTTAGGGGACAGCATACTCCACACTTGGGAATATTATTCTGACCCATGCATTGAGTGAAAAGGGAGATGGAAAGCTTTGAAAGTGCTGCAGGCCACACAGGCTACACAGTGGATAACCTTGCTGGTTGGACATAAAACCCAATAGAGCCTACGGTATGTTTAGAGATATCTGTGACAAAAGACAAAGATACTAACGGAGTTCATGGCAAGATCTGATGGAAGAAACACAACATAGACACACAGGTTCCTGGAGGAGGGCCATAACACTGCAGCAAAGAATTAGAAATTCTCAGAAAACAGCTCTAGTGGATATAGGATCCCTGAACTTGAGGCCAGAGATGGCCATCGTGAACTGATTTCTGTTAGATCTACCAAGTCATGATGTCCAGTAGGCATAGAAGTAACCCATCATAAGATGGAAAGTCCAACATTAGGCTAAAGCAAGTCTAAAGGAAACAAGCAAGATGAGCGATCAGACCTCCATAACACTCACCACTATGGTGGCAGCACCTCACTCTCAATAGCCACAGATGAGCCACATGTAGGGTCCTGATATCAGATACAAAGGAAGAGGATGAACCTGATTTATAAGTGAGTTGGCTCAGCATCTGAGTGCAATTGGAAAACAGTCTGCAGGTCACCCCTTATGGGCGGCTCTGAAAGGACAGAGAGAAGAAATCTTCGCAGTGGGCAGAGCTACAGGACAGGGCAGTGATGCAACTGGTCCTTGCTTTGCATGAAGAGGGAAGTTGCCAAGGTAAGGAAATATATGTACCCATAGGCAAAGTGAATAGTTTAGTTAGTCAGGTGGGGACAGAGATGAATGGTTTAGCTGGAAGACCAGGAACAAGAAGGTCTGAGGAAAAAGCATGTGAGTGGAGTTATGAAAGTTAGGATGAAAGTTGAAGGCCTTTGTCTCGTGCGATGACACCCACCACAGAGCACATACCAGGGAATAAGCATTAAACCACTATCCAGACATAATGGCCTGGTCAGGCATCAGCCAGGCTCTGTCTTTAGCTTTCAGGTGTTGTTGCAATGGAGTCACTCATGGAGTAGACTCAGGGGCAGGGGATGAGGCACTGAATAGACCAAAAACATGGATTCTCACCAAGACTGATTTAGCTACTCTTACAGCCCAATGTCCAATCTCTCAGCAAAGTAAATAAATGGCACACAACTAGTATGATACCACCACTTGAGAAGACTAACCAGCCAGTGGGCCCTTCTCATTCTGGTTGGGGCAGCAATTTAACTTGACTGGGATGGACACGTATGTTGGATATGGATCTGCTTTTCTTGCCTTCAGAGCCTCACAGCACCACTCTCTGAGGGCTTACAGAATGTTTGTTCCACCAACAAAAATTCTTATACATCTCATTGGACCAAGAGACCCTGTTAGGAAGATGGCTATGGGAACAAAATAGTTGGAAACACTGTTATTATCACTTACCACACACTGCAGAAATGGCTGGCCTGATGAAGTGATACAATGGCTTCTTGAAGGCATAGCTGAAATGCTACCTTTGGAGGTGATACCCTGCCAAGATGAAATCATATGGCATTTGTTTTTCTCCATCTGACTTATTTCACTTAGCATAATACCCTCAAAGTCCATCCATGTTGTTACAAATACAAGATTTTATTCTTTTTTTTTATGGCTGAGTAGTATAGTATTCCATTATGTGTGTGTGTGTGTGTGAGAGAGAGAGAGAGAGAAAGAGAGAGAGAGGTATCTTCTTTCTCCGTTCATTCATTGACAGACACTTTGTTTCCACATCTGAGCTATTGTGAATAGTGTTGCAATGAACATAGAGGTACATATATCTTTTCAAATAATTTTTTTTGGTTTTCTTCAAATAAATACCCAGAAGTGGAATTGTTGGAATATATGATAGTTTAAAAAAAATTTTTTTTGAGGACTCTCCTCTCTGTTTTCCATAGGGGATCCACAAATTTACGTTCCCACCAACAGTGCACAAACATTCACTTTTATCCGCATCCTCACCAAGACTTGTTATTTCATGTCTTTTTGATAATAGCCATCCTGGTGGGTAGGAGATGATATCTTATTGTGATTTTGATTTTATTTTACTGAGGAGTGATGTTGAACATATTTTCATATGTCTGTTGGCCAACTATATATCTTTGGGAAAATGTCTATCCAGATCTCTGCCCATTTTTCAATCAGATGGTTTGTATTTTGTTGTTGTTATTGTTGTTGGTATTGAGTTGTAAGAGTTCTTTATATTTTTGGATATTAATCCCTTAGCAGATATATGATTTGCAAATATCTTCTTCCACTGAGGATGTTGCCTTTATGTTTTCCTGATTTTTTTCTCCATTGTATGGAAGCTTTTTGGTTTGATGTAGTGCTACTTATTTTAATCTTGTCGCCATTGCCTTTGGAGTCAGATCCAAAAAGTATCACCAAGAGCAATGCCAAGGATCTTACTGCCTATGTTTTCTTCTAGGAGTTTTGTGGGTATTGGACATATATCCAAGTCTTTAATCCATTTTAAGTTAATGCATATGGTATTAGATAGTGGTCCAGTTTCATTCTTTTACATGTGGCTGTCCAGTTTGCCCAATACTATGTATGAGGAGATTGATCTTTCTCCATTGCATATTATTGTCTCCTTTGTCATAAATTAATTCACTATATATGTGTGGGTTTATTTATGAGCTCTACATTCTGTCCCATTGATCAATGTTTCTTCTTTTTTTTTTTTTTGGTGAAAAAATTTATATTTAGATATAGCCAGCTGGCCTCAGTTTAGATGATCGCAATTTTGTTGGCAACATCCAAAGCATCAGAGTCAGGAGCCAGTCAAACATAAGCTTTCTTTCCTCAGTGAGGCCTGATCTGAGTGTTGACCTTGGCCACGTCAATGTCATAGAGCTTCTTCACAGCCTGTTTGATCTGGTGCCTGTTGGCCTTGACATGCACAATGAACACAAATGTGTTGTTGTCTTCTGTTTTGTTCATGGCTGACTCGGTACTCAGGCAGAGCTTGATGATGGCATAGTGGTCAAGCTTGTTTCTCCTGGGGGCGCTCTTTTGAGGATATTTGGGCTGCCTTTGGAAATGCACTGTTTTGGGCCACTGGAATGTAGATGATGTACAGATCTTCTTTTTTTTATGACTGTGGATGCCTTTCAGCACTGCTTTCTTGGCCTTTAAAGACTTTGCTTTGGTTCTGGTTTTGGGAGGGACAGGGGCTTCCTTCTTCGGCTTCGGGCCATCTTCGTGAAAAGCTAATGTTTCTATTTTTATGCCAATACCACACTGTTTTGATTACTATAGCATTGTAATATAGTTTGAAATCAAGGAGCGTGATGCCTTCAGCTTTAATCTTCTTTATCAAGATTGCTTTGGCTATTCAGTTTCTTTCGTGGTTCATATAAATTTTAGGATTGTCTTTTTCTATTTCTGTGGAAAATGCCATTGGAATTTTGATAGGGATTGCTCTGTATCTGTAGACTGCTTTGGGTAGCATGAACATTTTAACAATATTAATTCTTCCAATCCAAGAGCATAGAATATCTTTCCATGTATTTGTGTCTTCCTAAATTTATTTCATCAATGTCTTATAGTTTTAGAGTGCAGGTGTTTCATATCCTTGGTTAAATTTATTCCTAGGTACTTTTTAATGCAATTGTAAGAATGTTTTTAAATTTCACTTTCTGACAGTTTGTTGTTAGTGTATAAAAACACAACAGATTTTTGTATGTTGATTTTGTATCCTCCAACTTTATGGAATTTATTAGTTCTAAGTTTTTTGGTGAAGCCTTTAGAAAAGTCTTCTATGGGGCGCTTGGGTGGCTTAGTCGGTTAAGCGTCCGACTTTCGCTTAGGTCATGATCTCGCGGTTCGTGGGTTCGGGCCCCGCGTCGGGCTCTGTGCTGACTGCCAGCTCAGAGCCTGGAGCCTGTTTCAGTCTGTGACTCCCTCTCTCTCTGACCCTCCCCTGCTCACGCTGTCTCTCTCTCTCCTAGAAATAAATAAAAATATTAAAAATAATAATAATAAATAAATAAATAAAACATTTTAAAAAAAAAGAAAGAAAAGTCTTCTATGTATAGTATCATGTCATCTGATAATAGTGACAGTTTAACTTCTTTCTTACCAATTTGGGTGCTTTTTATTTATTTTTATTGTGTGATTGCTGTGGCTAAGACTTCCACGACTAGATTGAATAAAAGTGGTGAGAGTGGACGACCTTGCCCTGTTCCTGATCTTAAAGGAAAAGCTCTCAGTTTTTCACTATTGAGTATGATGTTAGTTGTGTATGACCTTTATTATGTTGAAGTACATTCCTTCCATATCTGCTTTGTTGAACATTTTTAGCATAAATGGATGTTAAATTTTTTCAAATGCTTTTTTTGGTATTGATTGAAATGATCATAACATTTTTTATCCCTCATTTTGTTAATGTAGTGTACCACATGGATTTATTTGTGGATGGTAAGCCATCCTGGCATTCCTGAAATATAGCCAACTTGATCACAGTATACAACCTTTTTCATGTATTGTTGAATTCAGTTTGCTGACATATTTGTTGAGAATGTTTGCATCTGTGTTTAGCAGGGATATTTGCCTGTTAATTTTCTTTTTTTGTGTGTTGTCCTTTTCTGCTTTTGTAGCCAGGTGATGCTGATCTTGTGAAATAAGTTTGGAAATACTTCATTCTCTTCAATGTTTTGAAAAATTTGGGAAGAATAACTATTGAATCTTTTTTTAATATTTGGTAGAATTCACCAGTGAAGCCATCTGGCACTGGACTTTTGTTTTTGTGGGGGAGGTTTTGGTTACTGCTTCCAAATCCTTGAAAATTGGTCTATTCAAATTTTCTATTTCTTCATTATTCAGTCTTGGAAGATTTTATGTTTCTAAGAATTTATCCATTTCTTCTAGGTTGTCATATAATTGTTCACAGTAGTCTCTTATGATCCTCTGTATTACTTTGGTATCAGTTGTAACTTCCTTTCTTTCATTTCTGACATTTATTTGAGCCGTCTCTTTTTTTCTTATTAAGTCTAGCTAGGAGTTTGTTAATTTTGTTTAACTTTTCAAAGAACCAGCTCTCAGTTTCATTGGTCTTTTCTATTGTCTTTTTGGTGTCTATTCCATTTATTTCTGCTCTGATATTTATTATTTCCTTCCTTTTCATGAACTTTGGCCTTCATTTGTTTCCTCTTTTTCTCATTCTTTTTGGTGTAAAGTTAGTTTATTTGAGATTCTGAGTGTAAAGTTAGATTATTTACCTGAGATTTTTCTTCTTTCTTGATGTAAGCTTGAATTGCAATGAATTTCCATCTTAAAACTGCCTTTGCTTCATCCCATAGATTTTGGTATGTTGTATTTTCCTTTTCACTTGTCTCAGGTATTTTTTTATTTCTCCTTTGATTTCTTCATTGACCCATTGATTATTTAGTAGCATGTTGTTTAATTTGTGATTTTTCCCAGCTTATTTTCTGTGATTGATTTCCAGTTTCATACCACTGTGGTTTGAAAAGGTGCTTGATATTATTTCAATATTCTCAAATTTATTTGGACTTATTTTGTGGCCTAACATTTGATCTATCCTGGAGAATGTTCCATGTGCACTTGAGAAGAATGTGTATTCTGCTGCTGTTGGATGGAATGTTCTGTTTAGTCCATCTGGTCTAATGTGTCAATGTTTCCTTTTTTATTTTCTGTCTGGATGTAAGTTGGGTGTTAATGTCCCCTACTACTATTGTATTGTCATTGATTCCTCTTTTTAGGTCTGTTAATATTTGCTTTGCATATTTAGGTGCTCTTATGTATGATGTATAAACATTTATAAATGTTATATTTTATTTGCTTATAAATGTTATATTTTCTTGTTATATTTTCTTTTAAGTCTATTTTGTCTGAAATAAGTATAGTTACCCCAACTCTTTTTTTCTTGGTTTCAATCTGCATGAAACATCTTTTTCCATCACTTCACTTTCAGTCTGTGTGTTTTCTTACATCTGAGGTAAGTCTCTTGTAGGCAGAATAAAGATGGGTCTTGTTTTTTGTCCATTTTATCCACTCTTTGCCTTTTGATTGGAGTATTTAGCCCATTTACATTTAAAGTAATGATAGATAGGTATGTACTTACTGCCATTTTGTTCACTGTTTTCTGGCTGTTTTTGTGGTTTCTGTCTGTTCCTTTCTTCTTCTCTTGTTTTCTTCCATTGTGGTGTGATTCCTTTCTTTGGTGTTTTTTTTAGATTGCAGTATCATTGTTTCCTGTGTATCTACTATAGGTTTTTGCTTTGTGGTTACCATGATGCTTGCATATATCAGCTTATATATACTGGTCTATTTTAAGTTGATAGAAAGTTCAGTTTGAACACATTCTAAAACTACGTTTTTATTCACCACTGCCACATTTTGTATTTCTGATGTCTATTTTATTTTTTAATTTTTTGTTTCTTAATTTTTATTTTTATAGTTACTTTTTTTTAACACTCTTGTCTTTTATCCTGCATATTAGTTTTATAAGTAATTACTGACTTTACTATATATTTACCTTTACCAGTGAGCTTTTACCTCCATACATTTTCTTGTTACTAATTAGTACCCTTTCTTTCAGCCTAAAGAAGTCCCTTTAACATTTCTTGTATGGCAAATTTAATGGTGATGAATTACTTTAGTTTCCCCTTGTCTAGAAAACAGTCTATATCTCTTTCAATTTTGTTAACCTTACAAGTATAATATCCTTGGTTGGAAGTTTTTGTCTTCAGCATTTCTTTAAAAAATTTTTTAGAAATGTTTTATTTATTTCTGAGAGAGAGAGAGAGAGAGAGAGTGAGCAGGGGAGGGTCAGAGAGCAGGGGAGGGTCAGAGAGAGAGGGAGATACAGAATCTGAAACAGGCTCCAGACTCTGAGCTAGCTGTCAGCACAGAGCCTGACACAGGGTTCAAACCCACAAACCTTGAGATCATGACCTGAGCTGAAGTTGGACACTTAACCGACTGAGCCACCCAGGTGCCTCTATTTTCAGCATTTCTAATATATCATGATACTTCTTCCTGGGCTGCAAAGTTTCTGTTGAAAAAATCTGCTCGTAGTCTTATGGGTGTTGCTTTGTACATAGCAAGTTGTTTTTCTCTTGCTGTTTTAAGATTCTATCTTTATCTTTAATCTTTGACTTTTTAATTATGATATATCTTGGGGTGGATCATCTTATTTGAAACTCTGTGGACTTCATGGATCTATCTGTTTCCTTCCCCAGGTTAGGGATGTTTTCAGTCATTATTTCTTCAAATAAGTTTTCTGTCCCTTTTTCTCTTTTCTTTTGAGACCCCTAGAAGGGAATGCTGTTATTATATGTTGTCCTATAAATCCTTTAAGTTATTTTCATCTTTTAAAATTCTTTTTTCTCTTTGTTGCTCTGTTTGGGGTGATTTCCACTGCCATGTCTTCCAGGTCACTGATCCTTTCTTCTGTTTCACCCAGGCTGCTGTTGAACCCCTCTAGTGTATTTTTCAGTTCAGTTATTGTATTCTTCAGTCTGTGGCTTCAGTTTGGTTCTTTCTTACAGCTTCTGTCTCTTTGTTGAAGTTCTCTCTGTGTCCATCAATTCTTCTCCCAAGATTGGTGAGCATCTTAATGATCATTACTTTGATTTTTTTAATCAGGTAAATTACTTATCTTCCTTTAAAGATTTTTTGTGGGTTTTTTTGTTTGTTGTTTGTTTTTTCAGGGATATTATCATGTTCTTTTGTTTGGAGCATATTCTTGTTTCTTCATTTTGCTTGATTCTGTGTTTATTTCTATGTATTAGGTGAACAGCTCTCTCCTAGGCTTCAAGGGGTGGATGCAGGAAGACTGAAAGAGTGTTTTAGTCTGTCGTCTGTTCAGTGCTCTGAAGATGGTAGCCTACCAAGAATTAGCTCTACAATGTTTCAGTCCCTTAGGACTGAAAAACACAAGCCCTCATACAAAGCCAGACATTCAAGGGATGTCTCCTGTGTGGACTGCATACAACCACTGGGCCAGGGCACACCACCCACTGGCTTTAGGGCCATGGCGGGGCACCTGGTCATGGTAAGCATGTCTACTGGCAATATACACTTTTTAAAAATGATTGTTTATTTATTTTGAGGAGGGGAGGGGCAGTAAGAGAGGGAGACAGAGAATTTGCACTGTCTCTGCAAAGCCCAACACAGGGTTCAAACTCACAAACTGTCAGATCATGACCTGAGCCAAAATCAAGAGTCAGCCACCTAACTGTGCCACACAAGTGCCCCTGGCAATATGCAGGTTTAATGATTGTTGTATAATGTTATGTCCTTGATAGTTGAATATATGGGTCCAAGAACCAAGAGGAGTGGCTTGGTGTACCATAACTTCCAGTCGCCAACTTGAAGGACTTATACATCCCTTACCCCAAATGTAGGCTGTGTGGGTCTGATGATTTTGGTCCCCAACAGGAGAATGCTTACATCAGGGAACATAGTAAAAGTCCTATCAAGCTTTAAGCCCCAAATGCCTCTCAGTCATTTGGGCTTCTTATGCTGGGATATCAGCAGGCAAAGAAGAGTCATCATCTTGCCAGGAGTAATGGACTCTGATCACTGGGAGTAGTGAGGTTGCTATTACATTTTCAGGACACAGAAGAATACAGTTAGCACCCAAGTGGTCCACTGAGGTGTCTCCTGGATTTTCGTAGCCAAACCTGGCCAACGAATCAACATGTGCAACACATAGAGAATCTGAATGTTATGGTGACCTGGGGCTCAGATCCTTAAAGAGGGAGGTCTGAGTCATGCCATCAAGTAAGCCATCTATATAAGCAGATGTACTTGGCAAGGATGAAGGGAATGGCCAGAAGAGTAAGTAGAAATTAAACTTAATATATGAAGCAGTTGGATTTGCACTGTGACATGTATACTGTAGTGGTTACCATGGTATGCCATTACCCGCTCTCCACTTCAGGATTAAGGTATTCTTTTCCCCCACCTAGTGAAAGTGCTGTAATCTAATGGATCTTAGCTGAATCTAGGGGAATTGTCCTTAGAGAACTAACTAACTCCAATCACATCCTCATAGGAGCAGCCCACATGCACCCTTGCCTTAAGGAAGGACAAACTCTGAAGAGCAATCTCAGAGCTCTCAGTAGAAATGGCCCAGGCTTTTGCAGCAACTGCATTGCAATTCAGTTTCTCCCCATGTGCACTCCTGCTGCCTTTGCTTCTCACAGATGCTGTTCCCATGAGCGTGTCTCCCCGCCCACTGAAAACAAAACAAAACAAAACAAAACATTGTGTTTCACATTTATGTCTCAGGGGATCTAATGTTGGGTAAAAACTGATAAGATTAGCCCTGGGGGCTGAAGGGGGGTGCTGGTGGCTAGGCTGGAAGTGCTGGTAGGTGCGAAGCTCACCCTTGACCTACAGAACTCCAGTCCTTCTTGCAATTTTTGTTCTGAGTGAATTCTTGGTCTTGGCTGCAGTATGTAGCTTTGCTCTTGACTCCATTGAGGCAAGAAGATGAAGGCACAATTCACTATTACTTAGACAACCAGGAACATTGATTTTTTTTACTTGAAAGACTGATCGTAAAAAACATGTTAGTTTATTTGACAACACAGTGTATTGTTTTGACATATGTTTTTCACATCACTCCATTGGGATATCCATTCATGGTGAGCATTATTCTGTATTCAACTTTAAAATTTGGAAAAATCAACATATTTCAGTGACTTTTTCAAGGAGCTTGTTATTAGCTCAGTAGAATAAAATATACAAAAGTGTGAAACATGATCTCTGTTAAGAACTCATAATCTAACCTCAGAAGAGAAAGGAAACACATGAGACGAAAATACTGACAAGAGAGAATATATAATTATGTTTGAAATGAGGGACACAGGAATATATGAGACAGTAGGTCAGAGAAGAGGTAGACAGGGTAGATGGTCTTGTCCCTGTGTTTCAACAGACAAACTTCCTTTTGGTGATATAAAACACCACCTACTGAAGCCTAAGAACCTCATTTAAAAAAGAGAGAGAAAAGAAAAGAAAAGGGAATCTTAATATTATGCACTAGAAAATTGGGTGTTCAATATTTTTCCAGTGTAGTTTTCACAAAATGAACAGATTACCCTAAATGCCTAAATCATTGCTGGTAAGAATATAGGAAAATGTGCAGGAATTTTTACCCCAGACATGATGGTACATCTGATGCAATGTTATATTTTCTCTGCAGATTTTTTTTTTTAAATTTGAGGCATTGTCACTTGCTTTCCTGAAACCCTCCACCCCAGTAGCTACTCGACTGCACTTTTAGGAAATCAGGAGACTGGACCCTGTGGGCAAGTGAAAAATCTTGTCTTCATTTGAAATGGGTCTCATGATTCTGAGAAAGCCTAAAAGCTACTGTAAATGGCAGATTTACTTTTACAAAAGGAAGAGTATAGAGATATTGTTCATTCTTTGAGGATAGTGCCTGAAGCTCACGAACCAGCTCTCAGCTATTTCTTGGAAACTTATGACCATGCTCATGTTTACAGAGCTGTGTCAAGCTAGAGTGTGCCCAACAGTAAACCTATAATTTAAGCTTCTCCTATTACTCATGTCATAAACTCAGCATCTAAGTTGTTGCTATTTATCAATGGCTGGTTTGCTGTCATGGAACACTGATTCTCCTGGCAAGGTTATTTGATGATATCAGGTTTATAAGAGGGGGGAATTTTTTCCCCATAAGGCCAGAGCTAATAGATGCTTCTTTCCTCATTTAATTGAGATTAAGTTTTATGAATGATAGATTAATTGTCTAAACCCACAACAGTTTTTTCATAAAATAGTCACGCCATTAAAAGCCACATTACAATAATAATAATAATAATAATAATAACCTACTCTGAATTGTGAGGTAAAAGGTAAGTGGCACTAAGAAGACTCCCCACAGACCTCCCACTGCTCCTCTGGGCTGGTGAACACACCCACTTCCGGATGTCATTCCAGCAACATTGTCAGAGCTCACCGCCCCTCTGCCCACACAGTGTTTGGCATTTACCACAATCATAAAACCTACCCCTCTGAATTGTAACTGTCTCACCCAGTAACCTGGAAACATCTGCAAGAGAACGAGGCTGTTTCTGGTTTGCTCTTATAGCTCCTGTGTGTAAGACCTGTGTCTTAGTAACATGCTTAGTAAACGTTCATTGAAGTTCAACTCCACCCAGATGGTAGCATATGAAAATGATGTCAGTGCAAACATGAACCTAGGGAATTGCCTTTCTCCAAGAGATGCATCAAAAAGAATGACCATGATGTTATGACCCAATCAGTTCCAAACTCTGCTCTCCAAGAATACAGAAAAATCATGCCATTTTAAAAATAATTCAATCCTCATGTGAACCAAAAATGTTAAAGAAAGAACCAATCATTCATTAAAACACAAAATAGTACACCAAACTTTGTGGTGTAACATAAAATGTACATTTCCTTATGTATAACCAAAGGCGAACGATATTCCTTAGGTAAATAATGTAGGAACCACCAAACTTCTTTTAATTGCCTATAGATTGACTAAACAATGGAGTTATTGTATAACAACAGCTTAGCCATGCAATATATAAGTAGTTCATTGATCTTTTCAGAAACATAATATGGTGGTTATACAGATTTTCCCCCAAAAGAAATTGGATATAATAAGATAATATCAGATTTAAAGACAGCAAGAGATGATCATTATGTGGATTTCAGGATTAGGATACTGAAAGAATTCAGAAATAATTTAAGTACAGAAAGAGATTTGGTGTTGTTTGCTAGGAAATGTAGCTTCATTAAAGCCAGACTGTTATTTTAATTTATTAATGCTTGGGGACACCTGGAGGGCTCAGTCAGTTGAGCGTCTGACTTCAGCTCATGTCATGATCTCATGGTTCTTGGGTTCAAGCCCCAAGTCAGACTCTGTGCTAACAGCTCAGAGCCTGTTTCAGATGCTGTGTCTCCCTGTTTCTCTGCTTCTTCCCTACTCACACTCTGTCTCCCTCTCTCATTCTCTCTCTCTCTGAAAAATAAATAAACATTAACTTTTTTTAACTTTTAATACTTCAAAATACTTTTGTAAGTACATAAAATAAAAAATATATGTGGTTTTATATTTTGTCAAATATCAGTATAAAACTAAAAGAAAAATGAAATGTAGGGGATCTTATTTTAATCCTGAAGAAATACAAAATGAAATTCACATAGTTCATGGATGTTTATCTTATCAAAATAGTATATTTGAGAAGATATTTTAAATAATCCCTACTTAAAAAAGACCTTAAAAGATTATTGCATCATCTTAATTGATCTATGATAGTATTTTTTATCGATTCTATCTACTAAAAGAATTAAATGTGGTTGAATAATAATAGTATTGTGACAATTCAAGTTAAATGCATTTGTAGAATTGAGTTCAATGTGATTCTTTTTACTGTAACTAATGAGTCAACAATCTGAATTCTTTTATTTGAAACTTCTATTCCTAGCCAATAAAACAAAATAAGTTAGAATAATGAGAGCTGTGAAATTCCATAATAATGGGGATAAAAATGCAGTATTTTTGTACCTTATGTTAGTATATGATAAGAACACATATATTCATTTTTTGGTATATTCACAAATACTTAGGTTTAGAAGAAAATAAAGTGTACTCTCCTTTAATTTTCTTAGCATCATATTTTATAAATGTATATAGCAATTGTGCTACTAGCAGAAATTCTGTTAGCAGAAAATGCTTTCAAAAATGGTTAAATTTAAAGGGCAAAACACTTAGGTGCGGCTGAAGTGGGGGTTGGGCGATGTCCTCACTCAGCCCCAGGCCCCTCCCACTTCCCTGAGCTGGGTCAGCAGGACCCCTGGGCTTCCAGGGTGTCCTTGCTTTCTAGAAAGGAACAATACCTGCTGGCTCTGATCTTCCCGGGGGACATGGTTTTTAAGCCCCAAACTTCAAACTTGAAAGAAAAAGAAATCTTAAATATGAGTATCTTAATATTATTTTCAAAACACCTCCATGAAGTCTGTGGAAAAGCTTCAATCATCTTGCCATTTAATCAATATTCCATTTTATTTTGTTTGGTGAATGTCTTGTCAGGACTGACATCCTGTACATCTTCTCCCTGACTTTAAACCTTATTCACACTTTACTTCTACATATTTATACTTTATGTATGTGTGTGGAGCATGGGCCGGGGCTTCCTAGAGGTTATAAAGTGTTTGCTTTTATCATCTTGGCACTGGGCAAGCGCTCTCTGCAGCTGGAAGAGAAACAGAACTCTTACATGCACACTTCGAAGGAAAGAAAAAAACAGTTAACTTTGTCATTAAACTTAGGGTTCAAAGTAAATTGCAGTCATTTAAAAATCAGAATGAGAACTTTAGGGTTTAATGGATGGTACTGAATAGAATATAGACCCTTCCTCCTGCCAGACATTGGCAAAATTCCACTTCAGCTGCATTTTTGAATGGAGCATCAGAAAGGAGTAAGTGACAGTGATTATAAAATACACATAAAAAAGTGTCCACTTTAAAATTACTTTTGAACAAAAATGGGGCACTTGGGTGGCTCAGTTGGTTGAGTGTCTCTTGATTTCAACTCAGGTCATGGGATCCAGCCCTGCATCAGGCTCCCTGCTGAGTGTGTAGCCTGCATGAGATTCTCTTTCTCTCTCCCTCTGCCCCTCTCCCTCTCTTGCACTTTCACTCTCTCTCTCTCAAAAAAAAATTACTTTTGAACAAAAATAACAAAGATAATTAATATTTAACTCATGAGTATGTGAAAAAAAAATTCAAGAGCATGTGAACTTGCAAGACAACTCAGAGGGAAAAAAATGTTTATTGTGGACAACTTCATCAAAAATTACCTCTATTATGCACCATGCCCAAATCCATTGAATATCAAGTGCTACATGTTTGTGATGCAGGTA